AAAAAAAAAGTTTATGTTCACCACCTTGTGGGAATTTCATTCTGGGGGAGGAGGCAGAAAGGAAAAAATATATAAATATAGTATATTATATATAGTGTGATAAAATATAGTTAATGCTTAAAACTTTTAAAATGTATTACAGTAAAATTTATTGTCACTAATCTCCCTCAAAATATCCTCTCTTACTTCAAAAACACTTACCTCACTGTTTTTGCCAGTTTCTCAAGCAGTTCTGGAAGTACTCTTTCATGTCTTTATTTGTGCTCAATGTCCTGACTTCAAAATATTTACCTTTTGTGGTCATTTTGACTTTTGGAAAGAGGCAAAAGTTGTATAGTGCCAGATTTTGTGAATAAGGTGGGTGAAGATGCACCATGATATTTTGGATTTCAGCAGCAGTATTCACTGTATTTTTTATGACACTTTTTAAGACATCCACAAAAAAAGACTTCTAGAACTGCTTCAATATCTGCCAAGAAGACTGCTGGGACTGGGGTTCAGTCACCTGTATGCTGTGCCAGTGCCGGCGCTGCCCCTGGGGTGTGCTGAGACAGCAAATGAGACTGCGCATTGTGGCACGCACCTGTAATCCCAGAGCTTGGGAGGCTGAAAGCGGGAGGATCACTACAAGTCTGATCTGCATAGTGAGGCCCTGTAGACCCTGTACTAAATATATTAAAAAAAAAAGCTGCCAAGAACTATGGGAAAGTGTGTTTAGAATGAAGTGTTTTGAGGGGGATTAATAGCCATGGGTCTTTTACTGTAATACATTTAAAAAATTTAAACATTCACCATTTATTTTGAGCTCATTTCCTATTTGTGTAAGGGTAGTGTGTTGGAGAGGGAAAAGTAGGGAGGACAACAGACAGTGTTGATGGCTGTAATTGTAACCATAATAGTCAAAGAATGGGGCCAAGCACAATGGAGAAGAGTGAAGGGGCCAAGGGCAGAGCACATACAAAGGTCCTGAGTTTGAGCAAGTCTGGGACACTCAAGGGACAGCAGAACAGTAGCATGGAGCCCAGATGAGGAAGGAGAGAGGGTCAGGCCAGAGCAGTGGCAGTGTGCGAGGCTGATCTTGATGTACACTGAAGCCAGCTAATGGTCTTCAGAGGGATCAGACAGAGCCATAAGAGGGGGCTGAATCTGAGAGTGACCGCAGCTTTCAGCCTCCTGGTAGCGTGGAGACAGGCAGGGCGGTTGAGGAGCAGGTTTGTTGAGAAGTATCCACTAGGTGTGGGAACTGAAGCCTGGAAAGGGAGTGAACTTGCCTGATGATTCAAAGTGGGATAGTGGAGGAATAGATTTGTAGCACACAGTAGAGAGCTGTAGGAGAAATGGCTGAGTCTGGGAGCTTCTGTGCTGGCATACCGCCAATGTCAGAACATGCTTGCCAGCAGTGTGGCTATAGGGCTCCTTTCTTAGCTACAGCTCTGCCCTGCTTCTGTCATTGTACAGTTAGGCATGGCCGGACCCTGGTTCTTAAACATTGTTTGTCCTTGTCCCATCCTCCCCCATATATGTCCGTCATCCTCGACCTGTCACCCATTGATCAGCCAGATGGTATCATAGGTTCCAAAGTACTCACACCATCTAGCACTTCAGAAAATCTCAGGGCTCCTTCTCATTGGACAGGCTTTGGTCAGGTGTCCCCACTGAAGCTAATCATGTAGCAAGAGAAGTGCTGTGCTCTGACCAATAGACATGGGCCGTAGTGTCTGCCCCTCCACTCTTCATCTATTCCAGCCCAGGAGTCCTCTCTTCCAGCTCCTGGCCTCGTGCCCCACTCTGTGCTGGGCTCCAGGAACAGAGAAGTGGCCCTCCCACCTTCAGGTGCCCTCAAGGGGCTCCCACAGTATAAGGGGCTTCCTTATACTAAAGAATAGTATAAAGCACTGATGACAAATGTTTTAGAGCTTTCAATGATAACAAACGCATGCCATAGATTTGCCACTACTGGTGTAAAGCAGTGCCACACCCCAGATTACAGGTGTGATTTTTGCATTGACCAGGTCTCCCCTGCTTTTTCCCTAAGGCTTCAGGAAATGACTTAGGCAAACCTAATTCCATACTCTTGCTAGCACATGTTTGTCACTGTCTTATCGGGGGTCCCACTCACAGATTCTGGGATCCCTGGGCAAATCATATCACTTTTCAAAGTCTCTGTTTAGAAAACTAATATGCAAAAACAGTGGTGGTATTAATACATAATTGGTGGGATATTTATGTTACCAATGTCATACAGCAATAGTCTGACTCATAGTAGGTGCTGTGATCATTTGTGTGTCACCCTAGGCAGAGCTGCTCATTAGATCATTGGCCTTTTTTTTTAATCCATTCAGTGAGGTTTTGGAAGGCCTTCTATGTCCTCTATGTGAAACTGAATCTTGCTGTATATTAAAGCCAGCTAATGGCTGGTCCCAGGCAGATGCTAGGACTCAGAGGTGCACAGATAAACTCATGCTCATAGGAGCTAATATTCTGGTGGGAAGACAGACAACACCCAAGAAAACAGACAAGGAAGTGGATCTTTCTAAGGGTGCTGAGAGTTGAGAGGGAGAGAATCCAGGTGGTCCAGGAGGCTTCCCTGACAGAGGTGAGAGGGCCATGCAGACACTGAGAGCAGCAGCTTACAGGCAGTACGAATGGTAGATGCAAATGCCCTGAGGAGTGTGCCTTGGTGTCATGTGAACAATGAGGGTTGCACAGTGTAATGGAGGGGAGACAAGGACATGATGAGGCTGGCCAGCGCTGGACCTTGGAGGTCACAGAAAGATTGGTTTTGAGCCACTGAGACAGAAGGAGAGGGCAGGTCCAGAGAGGAGGTTGAGGAGCCTGTTAGCCGTGGGCAGGTAGAAGAAGACATCCCCAGAGCCTTGTGGCAGGCAGACCTAGCATACTCCAACACCCTGGGGTCACGTTGTATTGCCAAAACTGGAACACCTGGGGTGAGATGCATGAGTTTGTGTCACAGAGGACTGGCTGGTCCCTCATGAGTCCTAGGCTCCTACCTAGTTTCTTGGGGTGAGAGACAGTCTTATCAGTAACTCACTTCTGTTCTTGTCTTTCATTCACTTTCTCCCTTCACTGGTGTTCCTGAAGATAAAGGTACTTGGAGTGTGTGTGTGTGTGTGTGTGTGTGTGTGTGTGTGTGTGTATTTGTGCATGCTCCTATGATGGTAGACAGGATGGGGCATCTAGAGGAAAAGAATCCATAGGCATCCAGGAGACCTGTCCTGGGCTAGGGCTGGGGGTTTGTGGTCAGGGGCTGCCGTATGTGAGCCGAGGGGTCTGGGAGAGGGTTGCATAGAACTTGCTGTGAAGTAGTTTGACAGCTTGGGGTGAGGACTTTGGGGAGACCCCAAGATTCTATAAGGAATCCCTTTCTGGTCACCTCTGAGCAAGGGGATCCTTAAGGAACCTTGTGTCTAGATGTGTCCGGTTCCCCTACCCTTGGATCCAGAACATACTAAGCACCTGCACATGCTCCTCTCCCCTGGGGCCCAGATCCTGGAAGCAACACCTCTCTTGGAGTCCTTTGGTAATGCCAAAACTGTAAGGAATGACAACTCCAGCCGCTTTGGGAAGTTCGTGGAGATCTTTCTGGAAGGGTGAGTGGGATGATGGTAAGGCTCCCAAAGGCCACATGACACCACCCACCTGTCTTGGGAGCTCCCCATGCCCAACCAGCTGCCATGCCCCTCTCTGAACCTTACCTTCTACCTCTTGAGCTGACTATGCTTCTCACCCCAGGGGCGTGATCTCTGGTGCCATAACTTCCCAGTACCTGCTGGAGAAATCTCGGATTGTGTTTCAGGTGGGCTGCCTCTTCCAGGCCTGTGTGTGTGGCAGGGTGGGGAGATACAGATGTTCACAGCTTGGTACCTGCAGGGCTGGAGAGATGTCCCGTTATGAATACATGCATGCATAGGAGCATCTGCATGTATACATATGTGAGCTCAGGACCTCATCACCTACCCCTCTCCCAGCCCCTGCAGCTGGGTGGGCTCTACCCAGTCTTTGAACCAACAAGGCATACTTTGGTCTCAGGATCTTTGCAACTAGTGTATTTGCTTCTCCTGAGCACTGAACTCCAAAATGCAATCCCCTTACCTCCTCTAAGCCTTTCCTGCATGTGCCCTGTTCAGGGAAGCTAACCCACTTACAAATTCAGCCCCTCTCTACCTTACCAGAACTCTCACCCCTTCATTGCTTTATTTCTATCCAGGCTGCTTCTTACCATCCGAAATATTTTACATTTGAACCAGGGATTGCTGAGTGTCTTTCCAGTTAGCAAGAGGGCAGAGCCACATCAGGGGTTTCTATTACCCTGAGGACCTAGGACATGGCCTGAGGCATAGGGAGGACCCAGCCACATTGACTGAGTGCTCAATCAGGAAACCTGTTTGTGCACATCCAGGCTATTGACATGTATATATTGTAGGCATGTGTGGCTGGTACACAAGAGAAAGGACGGGCTGTCTTTCTTCTGATTTTTCCAAACGAAATAAAATTTTGCCACTAAGCTAAACTTTTCCATTCCCACCCCCAAGCTGGGCTTCCTGCTTATCACAGAGGTTCCCAAACTCACTGCAGGCCCTAGCTCATGTTTATGATTGTGAGCATACTGGGTCCATCTGTGTGTCTGGGGGGTCACCAAGGAGGTGGCTCCCTTCTCTGCACCCACCCATTCACTCTGCAGGCCAAAAATGAGAGGAATTACCACATTTTCTATGAGTTGTTGGCTGGGCTGCCTCCTCAGCTGCGGCAGGCCTTTAGCCTTCAGGAAGCTGAGACCTACTACTATCTGAACCAGGTGAGCACCTGCAAGCATCCAAAGCTCCAGAACCCCTGGGTGGCTCAGGGAGCCCAGCTGTGGTGTCCTAATATCCAGGGAAAGTGAGGAAGGCTTGGAGAGGGAAAACCTGGATTTGAGACGTCTCACCTCTGCCAGGAGAACAGAAATGTTCAGGGCCCAGCGCAGTGCCTAGAACAGAACTAGCCAACTGGGGCTGCTGCTTGTCTCCTCTTTGGGTCTCGGTTTCCATAACTATGAAATGAGGATACATAATAACCCTGTATAGTTTAAAGAGAAAAATAAAATATAAGCAACAGGAAACAGGAAGATAGATCTTTTGCAAATGGAAAAGGGATCAAGAGATGAAGAAAGAGGGAAGGGGAAGGTAAGGGCAATAAAAAGAATTAAGATATGTACATATCTCTTCCCCAGGATGAATGTAATCATTATGTACCTCAATCATACTAACAAAAAATGACACAAAAACCTTGTAACACCCCTGTGCAGGGATATAGTGAGGTACAGGTAAGGAGAGGTATGTAATGAACTTACGGCTAGCCTGTTGGACACTCTCCTTGCACATTGGTTACTGTGTCATGATTATTAACTATGGCTGCTACTCATCACATCTGGGATCTGGCAGCCTGTCTTGAGACCCCTCAGAGCCCTCCTGGCCATGACAGTAGAACAAGAGCATGAGGCCCTACCATCCACCAGTGACCCAGCCCCCGCTCTTGCTCAGGGAGGGAACTGTGAGATCCCAGGGAAGAGCGATGCTGATGACTTCCGCCGGCTCCTGGCTGCCATGGAGGTGCTGGGCTTTGGCAGCGAGGACCAAGACAGCATCTTTCGCATCCTGGCCTCCATCCTGCATCTGGGGAATGTGTACTTTGAGAAGTATGAGGTGAGGGGACCCTGCTGTCTGACATGGGCAGAGACTATCTGAGACTTCTACATTTACTGTCCAGGTTAACCACGCAGGTATTTGTTCAGCAAGCCCTTGGAGGTGTTTATCTTTTTCTTATTGATATATGAAGTCTTTTTATATACCTTGGAGAAGTCAGATCTTTGTTTCTGATATGAATTTAAATATATTTTCTAGTTTGTCATTTATGTTTTGATTTTCTTTACAATTTTTTGGCATTTCTGTGGGGGTTTTGGCCATGCAGAGCTTTGTAGTGAGACTCTGTACAAAAAGCTTCCTGGGTGCTGAGTTTACAGGTGTCTGCCACCATGCCCAGTTTCTTTTCCAGAATTTAGTTCTAACTTGTTTCTACTTTTCTTTTCTTTTCTTTCTTTTTTCTTTTCTCTTTCTTTCTTTCTTTCTTCTTTCTTTCTTTCTTTTTTTTTCTTGTGGAACCGGGAATTAAACTCAAGCCAGGCTTATTCTACAGAGCTATCTCCCCAGCCCTGTTGATTTTTTTTTTTTTTTTTTTTTTTGGTTGGCTCAGGCTGCCTTAAGGGTGGGTCTGGTAATGAAGGTGGAGGTGTGGATCAAACCCTGGTATCCTGCTTCAGACAGTATTTGCATGAGCAGATGCTTAAACAACTGAGCTAACTGGGGGAGGGGGCATTGAACTCAGGCCCTTGCGCTTGCCAGGCAAGTGCTTATTCTACTGAGCCATCTCCCTGGCCCTTTCATAGGAACTTTAAACTCAGCTTATCTAGTTCACAGCACACTGCTTTTGCTCCTTTACACAGACAGATACGCAGGAGGTGGCCTCGGTTGTAAGTGCCCGTGAGATCCAAGCTGTGGCCGAGCTGCTACAGATCTCCCCTGAGGGCCTACAGAAGGCCATCACCTTCAAAGTGACCGTAAGTCAGCAGGCACAGATTCTGACAGGGCCTTTTACCAGAGCCTGGACAGGTTGCCCTACATGTCATCCTCTGCAGGCTCCTTCTCCCTCTCTCCCTTCTCTCTGTCCCTGCCTCTCATGTTGGTTAGACTAACCTTAGATTCCAGAGGCATCAGGCTCCCAACCTCTAGGCCTCTGCATAGCCTGATTCCTCTACCTGGCATGCTCTGCCATGCTCTTTTCATGCCTCCTTACCCTTCCGTATCCAATGTAGACACCCTTCCTCCTAGAAGTTTTCCCTGACCCTGGCTGGCTTAGAGCCTCCCCCAAATTTTCATAACTCTAGGCTCTTCCCCTCTTCCCAGGCTTTCTGCTAATGCCTCTCTCCCTCATTAGATGGATGCCCCTCTGCCCCTGGCACCACCGGGCAGAGGGAGAAAAAGGACAGCCTTTGGCTTGCCTTTGGCCAAATGTGCTTGAAGCCAGTCACACCATCTCTTCAGTCCCCTTTCCTATACCTCCTGACCTCCAGTTTTCTGGGGGGCTTCCTGGAGGCAATGAACAGCCTGCTGCCACTCAAAGGCCATGTCCCTCCCCCAGGAGACAATGCAAGAGAAGATCTTCACACCTCTGACTGTGGAGAGTGCTGTGGATGCCAGGTGAGGCTGCACCCCTATCTGCCTGAACCCCTAGACCCTAATACCCCATCCCTGCACCCCACCCACCTCAGCACTGCCTCTGCCCTCCAGGGATGCCATCGCCAAGGTTTTATACTCACTGCTGTTCAGCTGGCTGATTGCCAGGGTCAATGCCCTGGTATCCCCACAGCAAGACGCGCTGTCCATTGCCATCCTGGACATCTATGGCTTTGAGGTAGGGCTGTGTGGATGGTGATAGGGGAGAGATAGGCCAGGAATTACTGCCTGCCCTTCCTGCTCACATGCCCGTGGATGCCAGACCCCTCCCCACCATCATCTACCCTGCCTGTTCTGCTGCCTTCTCAAACCCTCAAACAGTCCCTGAGTCCTGAGAACCTGAGCTGAGCAGTGCTGGGATCCCCAGAAAGGCTTTTTCCCAATGGGGCTGAGTTGGGGCAGGATAGATTCTGAAGGGTCCATGTGATCAGAGCCATGAGACAGGCAGCAAGGGGTGTCTAGAGAGGGCCCCTGCCTCAACTGGGGTTGGGAGTCAGGGAGGCTTTCTAGAGGAGGAGATGGTCCCAAAAGCATCTATGGGAGGAAAGTAAAGGCCTTCTATGGGAGGAAACAGCAGCAACAAAGGCCAGGGGGCGTGGCAGGGCATAGTGCCAAAGACTGATGCCCTTCTTGGAGTGCTGCTCAGTGGCAAAATGGTGAGCCAGGCAAGGTCACAGCCACAGAAGCCAAACAGCACTCATCTCACCTGTTGTGTGCCAAGTGGTATTAGTTCAGCTCACCCTCATAACAGCCCTGTAAGGCAGGAAGTATTGGTAGCCCCATTTTACAAATGGGTAAACTGAGGTACAAGGTGATTACCCAAGATCACACAGCTAGAAAGTGGCAGAGACAGGATTCAAACCCAAGCAGAAGACTCTATCCATGGCCTGGGCTTCAGCTTCTACCTGTGCTGCCAGGACCCGAACTCCCAGGCAGTGTCCTGGGGGTGATGGGCTCAGTAGGTTTGAGAAGTTCCTGTGATCAGGCTTCAGCTCCATGAAGCTGCTACCATGGAAGGCAAGGAGGGCCTGAGTGGGGAGGTGGGCAGGGCCCAAGGTGGGACAGAAGGGCTGCTGGTCAAGGGGTATCAGCTTGCTCTCCTCACTGCGCCCTCCAGGACCTGAGCTTCAACAGCTTTGAGCAGCTGTGCATCAACTACGCCAATGAGAACCTTCAATACCTTTTCAACAAGATCATCTTCCAGGAGGAGCAGGTATGCAGCCTGTGAACAGTCTCTTACCATCCTTACTGGCCAGTGGGCCTCCTTGGAGACAGACAAGAGCAGACTGGTCTCTAAGGGCATTCCAAGGTCACTGAGGGGCAAGTGCAGGGAAAGACATTCTGGGCAGGGACTAGACCATATGAAGCCTTGTGTTCTAGAGATGTGTATGTACTGGGTTGCAGAGGCCAAAGAGAGGTCCTCTGGGAAAGGGTCCTTTTGACATTCGTGGAAGAAGCAGCTCATGCTGTTCTGTTTGGGGGTGAGTTCCCTGTTCTAGTAAATATGCAAGCAGAGATGTTCTGGCCAGCCTGGGAGGTAGGTTGGATGGGGCCTGGGCAGGCCCAAGAGGCTCAGCCCCTACGGCTTGCTGTCTGCAGGAGGAGTATATTCGCGAGCAGATTGACTGGCGGGAGATCACCTTTGCCGACAATCAGCCCTGCATCAATCTCATCTCACTAAGACCGTATGGCATCCTCCGTATCCTTGATGACCAGTGCTGCTTTCCCCAGGTGAGCTGTGGTGCTTGTGTGGCTGCTTGGGTCCCTGAGGTCGCTGAGAATCCTGAGCCTCATCCTACCATGAGTACCTCTCTGAGTGGAAAGTGGGGCATTGGGACCTCCATCCTACCATTCACAACCTGGGGTGATTAAGGCTGGACTAGGGGGCTGTAGGCATCCAGAGGAGGGGTTGCACCAGCCTGAGAAGCCCAAGGGGACTTCCTGGAGGAGGTGACCTTAGATTTAGGCTGCAGACCCTGACAGTGAAACATAAGGGTGAAATGGCAATGGGAGCTCACAGGCCACTGGGAGCTGATTCAGCCACACCTGTCTGTAGTGGTCCATTTAGATCCCCAGCATCTGGCTGGGGCACTTGCTTTTCCACCCCGAGCTGTGGGAAGCCAGGGTGGGAAGCTGTGAGTTGCTCCCCTCCATCCACTACCCTCAGGGGAGCAGTCAAGGCTGGAGAATTTGCCACTAGGTCAAGAACAAGGTGCCCACCCACCAAATCCTACCTATCCCCAGGCCACAGACCACACATTCCTGCAGAAGTGCCACTACCATCATGGCGCCAACCCACTGTACTCCAAGCCCAAGATGCCACTACCTGAGTTCACCATCAAACACTACGCAGGCAAGGTCACTTACCAGGTGAGACCCAAAACAGCCGACAGGAAGCAGGGGCTGCATTTCCCCTATTGGCTGGAAATGGAAAGCACACTGTAGGTATCACAGACACCTAGTTTTAACTCTAGTCTTGCAGTTCCTAGCTGTGTGACTTTAGGAAAGTCATTTAACCTCTCTGAGCTTCCGTCTGCATCTTATAGAAAACAGGGATGATAGTGCCTATCTTCTGAGGTGTATATGAGAAGCTTAAGGTAGATCTGATAGACAGTATCCCCTTTTGGTAGAGATGTAACTATTATCTGATGTATTTCAGCCCTGGAGATCTGGCAACTAAGCTTGGGGCAGGGATCGGTCCTGAGAAGCCAAGGCTGATGCCCCTCCCCCAGGAATGAGGAGTATGGTGGGGTTGGACCAGGAGGCTGCAGCAGTGAGTTTGATCCAGTCCTGTGATAGACAGAGAGACAGAGGCCTGGTAGAGACAGGCCAGAGTTATCTAGAGAATAAGAGTCTCTGAGGAAGCAAGAGGAGGAGTCAGAAAGAGGCTCTGGAGCATCCTGGAGTGTGCTGTGTCTCTGCCCTGCGCCTGTGGTGGTACAGGGCAGTGCCAGGGCTAGCACAGTCTACCCCCTACTCTCTTGCTGGCCCTGTTTTCCAGGTACACAAGTTCTTGGACAAGAACCATGACCAGGTGCGCCAGGATGTGTTGGACCTGTTTGTACGGAGTAGGACGAGGGTGAGTGAGGCCGGCTTCCAGTGAAACCTGAGTGCTTCCCAAGCCTCACCCAGCACCCACTTGGCCTCAGCCTGTCCCTTCCCTCCCCAGCCTCTGCTTGTCTGGCTTCTCGCCAAGCCAGGTCATCACCACAACCCAGCCTCAGTGTTTCCAGCTCACCTCTCCCTCGCCCACTGTGTTCTGGACTGTTTGTCTAGACATTCCCCAGGACTGCCATGAGGCCCAGAAGGGGGAACTTGGGAGGAACTTGTGTTCCCTGAAGACTTGGAGGGGTTCCCCCGTTACAGCTCCTACTGGCCAGCAGATGGCCCTCAGTCAGAACACATCACCTTCCTTTGGGCCTCCACTTCCTCTCTGTCAAATGAGCACCCCTCCTGAGGTCATCAGCCAGAGTTCACAGGCCTGCATATGGCAGACCACCTCCAGGGCCAGGCACAGTCAGTGACTGTGTTCCCGAGTGAAAGAGAAAAAGCCAGCCTCACTGTGGGGTGGATCCTCAAGGTGCTAAACTCCTTATTTTGAGAAGTAAGCAAGCCAGGATGGCAGAGAAGGCAGAAGCCTATTTCTCAGATTCCTTCAGTCCAGCCTTTGAATCCTCTGCTGTCTTCCCCTGCCTGTTACCTGGTCGTGGATCACCTGCCCAGGTGGTGGCACATCTCTTCTCCAGCCACGCCCCCCAGGCTGCCCCTCAGCGGCTGGGTAAGAGCAGCTCCACAACCCGACTCTACAAGGCACACACAGTAGCTGCCAAGTTCCAGCAGTCACTCTTGGATCTGGTGGAAAAGATGGAGAGGTGGGGAAGGCAAAACACCAGCCTGCGCGTGGCCCTTAGTGAGCACTCTCCTTCTTTGCCATCTCACACTGCCTGCCTACTGCCCCTGCCCAGGTGTAACCCCTTGTTTGTGCGTTGCCTGAAGCCCAACCACAAGAAGGTAAGTGAGAGCTGAGGCCTCTAGGAGAGCCAAATCTTCCTGTGTTGTGTGGCCTTGGGTAAGTGTCTTGGCCTCTTGAGGCCTCCACTTGCCTGGCTTCTGTGGTGATTTCACCACTGACAGTGCCACTCCTCATGGGTGGGCTGCTGTGCACACTCCCTCTCTGGGCACCCCTCCAGGAGCCAGGTCTCTTTGAGCCGGACGTGGTGATGGCCCAGTTACGCTACTCGGGGGTTCTGGAGACTGTGCGGATCCGCAAGGAGGGCTTCCCAGTGCGGCTACCTTTCCAGGTGTTCATTGACAGGTATCTCCATCAGAGTAGTTCCTGAGTTCCTCAGACCCCTACCCAAGCCCCTGTGGCCCTAGGAATACACAACCCAAACATGGGATTCACAATGTAGTTGTGCACTCTGTAAGACTTATGGTAGCTATTACATGGTATATATTTATGGTTTTACCTTTTTTCAGGTTTTTTTTTTTTTTATGTATTTAGCACAGGGTCTACAGGGTCTCACTATGTAGCTCAGACTCATAGTTGTTCTCCTGTTTTCAGTCTCCCAAGTGTTGGAATTACGGGCGTGTGCCACCACACCCAGTCTCAATCACCGTCTCAGCATGCCCCAGGGGCAGAGCCAGCATAGCATGCCAGGGATCTACCGGCTGCTGTGCCCTGCCTGAGCTTTTTTCAGTCTTAGTATATCTGTGCTGACTCCAAAGAGGGGTGATTTCCATAGTTATTATGACAACCTTCCAACAGATGGCAGTAAAATGTCTTGTTTTACTGAAATTGCCTCTTGAATTTTTCTGATATCCAGTATCCTTTGTTTTTTGGGTTTTTTTTTTTTTTTTTGTTGTTGTTGTTGGTTTTTTTGGAACTGGGGATTGAAAGAGTGACATTCTCTGATTAGATGAGACTATTAGTAGGGCCACCCTGGGAACCAGCCTCTGAGATACAGGGTTGTGATGGTAACCCTGTGGTCTGTCAGGCTCCTGGGGTAGATACTATAACCTTGGGTTGTTTGGGCCCCCACAGGTACCGCTGCCTGGTGGCCCTCAAGCACAACCTGCCAGCTAATGGGGACATGTGTGTTTCGGTGCTGAGCCGCCTGTGCACAGTCATGCCAAACATGTACCGTGTTGGAGTCAGCAAGGTGAGTGCTGACCATAGTCAGGCCCTAGAGACCCCTGACTTATAGGCTAGGGAGTCAGAAATGTCCCAGGTCAGGATTCCTATCCCAGCCAGGAGTGGTGGCACACCTGTAACCCCAGCTCCCCAGGAGGCCAAGGCAGAAGAAGGACCACAAGTTCAAGCCCAGCCTAGCAACTTAGCAAGACCCTGTCTCAGAATAAAATTTTTAAAAAGAGCTGAAGATGTGTACAGCTTAGCCCTGTGTTCCATCCTCAGTACCACCAAAATTAAAATAAGATTCATGTCCTGGAAAACATCCCCCTGGGCTGGCCATTTGGCATCCTTCCCTTCCTGGGCACCAGCATCCTCTCTCTCACCTCCCTGAACTCAACCCGCCTTCCAGTGCAGCTCCTCCAGCTACGCGTTCTGTCTCCATGAACTGCTGGAGGGGGAGGGCTCCCTCCAGCCTCCTAGCTGTTACCTACCTTGTGCCTGCTTTCCATCTCCAGCTGTTCCTTAAGGAACATCTGCACCAGCTGCTGGAAAGCATGCGGGAGCACGTCCTGAACCTGGCAGCCCTCACGTTGCAGCGCTGCCTCCGTGGCTTCTTCATCCAGCGGCGTTTCCGCTCCCTGCGCCGTAAGATCATCCTACTGCAGAGCCGGGCCCGTGGCTACCTTGCCAGGTAGGGCTCAGAGAAGGAAGGATTCCCTGAGATCCTGTGCTTGGGCTTGGGAGAGGCTATGCTGGAACTCAGGAAGTGAGCACCTTGTCTCTGGAGACATGCAAGCTGAAAGAGGAACCTCTGCAGGAAGAATGATCAGATTCTCAGTGTTTCTGCTTTGGGTATCCTACCCATCGCCAGGTCCTCTTAATTCAGTGCAACTCCATTCAGCTGAGAGGTGCCAGTCCAGCATCTCAGGGATGTGGGCACCATAACCTGATCTCAGCACAGCTTATACAGGCCTTCCTGCTGCTTTTGCTCTGTGACCTCTACTAAGTCACTGCCCTCCTCTGAACTCTAATTTCCCTTGCTAGCAAAGGGTCCCAGAGTGAGAAGTAAGCACTGTGTCCCAGACCCAACTGGTAGAGGCACCTCCGCCCCTTGGTCACCCTGTCACCCATGATCCCACTCCCGGCCCCCTAGGCAACGCTACCAGCAGATGCGAAGAAACCTGGTGAAGTTCCGAGCCCTGGTGCACATGTACATGGACCATCGGCGCTACCTCAAGGTACAGGCCCTGCACCACCTGGGTGCAGGGGTCCACAGGAAGGGGAGGCACTCATTGCCCAATGGAAAGACTGTTGGCTTCAAATAGTCTGGGGCTCTGCTGTGTACAAGCTGTATAATCCTAGCCCCTCTGTGGCTCAATTTCTCATATTCCCCATAGGGGTAGTGCAGAGGGTCAGATGGGATGTGGCATGGGAAGGATCTAGGATTGGGGATCTTTTGGAATTGGATACAGTCACAGCATGGTCACCTGAAAATCTCTAGCTATGGTCTGACCCTGAACTTGAGGCTAGACCCAGCCCACTATCTCATAAACCAACCACCAGAAAGACAAATGCCATTCCCAAGGCACAGAGGAACTATGTGTCTTTTACTCAAGGTCTTGTCACATGATGGAGAAGGGGCAGCATGTTCATGCTGCTCACTGCTTAAAGCTCCAAGAGGTCCCCTTCCTCATGTGTCTTTCCCCCAAAGTCTTTCTTTCTCACTGTCCCACTGTCTCTCTCTTGCTTTCACCTTTCCCTTCCCTGGTTCTCTGCCCACCTTGGCCAGTTTTGCTCCTCTCTGAAGGGAGCAATAGCCTCCAGGCTGCAGCTGCACGAAGCTGCCCCTCCTCATGCCAGCTGCCCTGTGAGCCTGGCCTGCCCTGCCTGGGCTGCCAGCACCTCTGCCCACCATCCCGCCCTGACCATCTGCTCTCCTGCAGCTGAGGGCAGAACGCAGGCGCCGGGTGGAGGAGGTGCGGCTGCGGGAGCAGGAGGTGGGTGCAGCTCGGGGTGGCAGCAGGGGACAGGGAGGGAGACTGGCAGGTGGGAGTGTGGCAGGCTACTCCCTCACTACCTGCTGTCCCCCCAGGAGCTGAGCAAGCGGGAAGTGGTGGCCGTGGGACACCTGGAGGTCCCAGCAGAGCTGGCTGGGCTCTTACAAGCAATGGCAGGTGTGTTAGCACTGGACAGTAGGGAAGGGCATGGGGGGTAAGGGTGAAGTTAGCTCATGCCTCATTCTCCACAGGCCTCAGGTTGCCCAAGGTCCCCCGAGTGGCCCCTGTGCGGACACCCCGGCTCCAAACTGAACCCCGAGTCACATTGCCCCTAGATATCAACAACTACCCCATGGCCAAGTTTGTCCGGTGTTACTTTAAGGTAAGGACTCACATTAGCCAAGGGGCCCTGGCCAGTGGGCACAGACCACTGTCAGAATTGACACTGTCCTTGGGCTGGGAATATGGCTCAGGGACAGAGTCTTTGGGTTTCATGCTCAGGATTACAAAAATTGGAAGAAAAAAGAAAGGACAGTGTTCTCCCCTAGGGGCATGTTTCCATGGTGCAGAGTACAGGCCTTCAGCAATGGTTCATTGGCATCTGGGATTCCAGGGCCTGAGTGGAGGGAGGCCTCAGGCTTAGGCAGTGGCTTACCCTGAAGGCTGGACTTACTGCCTAAATTCAGGGCTTGGAGAGCCATGGAATGTGTCCTGCTCTCATTTCCTCACCACTGTACCCAAGGACCCAGGCAATGGTTCCTCCTGCCTCTACCACAACTTACAAGTCCACTGTCTGCTCTTGTCCACCTGTATCCCTGTGCACACAGTGCAGACAGGGGCCTACCTTCTGGGCTTAGGCACTCCTGCCTGGCACAGAGCAGGGACCCAGCAGTGCTTGTCAGTCCCAGCACCATCTCCTTGTGTCCCTGCCATGTCCCCAGGAGCCTGCCTTTGGGATGCTGACAGCCCCCCTGAGGACACCTCTCACACGACTGCCGGCTGAGCACCATGCAGAGGCTGTGAGCATCTTCAAGCTGGTATGGGCTCCTGGCTTTGAGGCCAGACTGTGAGACCCTTAGTGCTGTCCTCATAGGTGCTCCACAATCCAACTCATGAGCTCCGCTTCTCATCTTTGGAGAAGAGACTTATATGTCTATAGGGGAATCTGGCTTCACTACTAGAGTCATCTTCCTAGCAAAACAAGAGCCTTAGAATGAGTCTGTCTGGCACCTTCCTGGGACACCGATGTGTCCTCTCCTAAAGGATGTTCCTGTGTGGGGAAGGACACTCTCTGAGGGGTCCAGATGGGCCCCTATCTCAGCCTTGGACTGCACCCAGGAGGGCTTCATGGAGGGAGGCATTGGAGCTAAAGGGGAATTTGCTGCAGGGAGAGTGAGGCAGGCACAGAGGGAAGAGGGAATATGGGTGGCCAGAAGAGAAGCAGGAAGGCTGTGGGGATGGTGAGCAAGGCCCCAGTGGTAGGCCCAGAACTCAGTTTTTACCCTCAGGAGAGTGCTTCCCTAGGAAGGAAGCAAACAGCTGGAAGAACTCTCGGGGACCTAAACAGAGTAGGAGCTGAGGGGGCCAGCTGGAGACCAGGAGAGAAAGGAAGGGTAGGACCAACAGGGGAAGCATAGAAGGCTCAGGAGCAGGAGAGGAAGTGAACATGTACTTTGGATCTTAACTTTTCCCATAGTTGGGGTGAATTGCCTCATTATTTGGCATAGAATACAGCAGCTATATTATGAGGGGCTTTTATGTGGGTGGGGGACCCATGGGAGAGGCAAGATAGGGATGCATATTGGAAGGTGGGGATTTGGCAGGAACAGCTCCCTGAAAGGCCCACAGGAGTCTTGTTTGTGGCTCAGATCCTGCGTTTCATGGGTGACCCCCGCCTGCATGGTGCCCAGGAGAACATCTTTGGAAACTACATCGTGCAAAAGGGGCTAGTGGCACCTGAGCTTCGGGACGAGATCCTAGCCCAGCTGGCCAACCAAGTGTGGCACAATCACAATGCTCACAATTCCGCACGTGGCTGGCTGCTGCTGGCCGCCTGCCTCAGTAGCTTTGCACCATCTTCACGCCTTGACAAGTTCCTCCTCAAGTGAGTGGGCCCTGTGGGGCTGGGTGGGAGTGGATTCAAGGGGCAAAGCCTCCAGGAGGAGGCACTGGCCGGACATGAACTAGGGATGGCACTTGGTCTCTGCTGATCCCAGAGCAAGAGCTTCAGGCTTCACTATGCAGGGCAGGAGTCAGGGAAGACAGGATGGACTTCTAGAACCCAGAAAGAACAAGACCAGGATGTGGGGAACTGGAAAAGTACAGTGTCCTCTTAAGTCATGGAGGCAAGGAACATAGACACTGGGCTTTGACAGTTGGGGTTCAAATCCCAGCTTACTCATGGATGGACTGTGTGATATTAGGCAAGTTACTTAACCTCTCCAGGTCTCAGTTTCTCCCCTTGTAAAATGAGGATAATGATAGTACATATTTCATAGGCTAGTATAAGGATGAAATGTAGAAACATACATGTAGTGCCCTAAGCAGAGACAGGGCATGTGATGAGTACCATGTGGGCATAGCCATGATGATCATGTAACGACGTTACCCTGCTGCTGGGTGAGAAGCATGACTCCAAGGAAAAGAGCTCAGGCAGGCCTAGGTATAGAGTCCAGCTCTGAACTTATCTGCTGTGTGGCCTAGGACCAGTCACTGCCCTCTCTGAACCCGTTTTTCTCATGAATTGCAGATGGTAACGGGATCCACCTAACAGGGTACCACTACAGAGCTTCACCCAGACCAGTGTGTAGTATATGGTCATTGCTTGACTGGGCTTGTGACTATGGAAGCTGGGGCAGCTGCCTTCTTATGAGCTTGGCCCTGGGTTCCCTCCCTAGCTGCTAGGGGCCTGTACTACAGCTGCTCCTGGCAAGGCGGCAGCAGAGAGGGACATGCAGCCTGGTACGGAGTGAGCACATGGGTCCCAGGCTGCGTCGAGCCACCAGGCCCATCTCTCACATCAATGAGAGCATGGCAGTGAGACCCAGAGGGGGTATATGACCACCATGTGCTACCTGGTAGGGCAGAATCCTCTAGAGTCCAGCCTTTGTCCATATTCAGCTGTAGAACCCCATACTGACAATAGCATTTTGTTCCAACAAGCTGGGACTTCTTTAACCTATCCCTGGATCTCTGTGCTACCCTGAGATATACTTCTAGGCTACACTAAACACATTTCTGTTTAGCTATGATCTCTGGGGCATCCTGAGATCTTTATGCCTTCACTATAGTCCAGAGTTCTAGGCTATAACCTAGGATCCTTCCAAACTAGTCTTTCAGGCTCACCTTAGAGCTGTGGACTTCCTGGGATCCTCTCAGGCTCCAATTCCCACCCATCAGGTTCGTGTCTGATTATGGGCAGAATGGCTTCCAGGCAGTGTGTCAACACCGTCTCATGCAGGCCATGGGCCAGGTCCAACAGCAAGGCTCAGGGGTAGCCCGCACCTTCCCCCTGACCCAGCTTGAGTGGATCACCATCCACAAGAAGGCCAGCATGGCGCTGGGTGTGAGCTGCTTCAATGGTGAGCTGCCCTGTCTCTGCCTCGTGGACTGGAGTCAGCAGTCCAGGATGTCCTGGGGTCAGCAGCAGCCAAGGGGATTCTGGAGCTGGGAAGGGGTTGGAGAGGGCCTACTCAGATGTGGCTCCGAAAGAAAGTTAGGTGGGGCCAGGGCCCTGGCAGTGAAGATGCAAACACAGTCCAAGATCAGAGTCTGGAAGCCTGGAAGGAAAAGTGGGCAGGGAGGCCATTGAGGCTGCACTATAGGTGCCTAGACTGACCCTCACCCCCATGCTGCCCCAGGTGACCAGTTCTCCTGCCCAGTGCACTCCTGGAGCACCGGAGAAGAGTTGGCTGGAGACATCTTGAGGCACAGGTTGGCTTCTAGAATGCCCTGCCCAGCACAGTGTTGTGCCTGTGGGAAGTAGGGGGGGAAGAGTAGGAGGCTGGATTCCTGAGGGGGTTCCAGGGCCACTCTGTCACAGCCAGGGTCTGATTCATACCCCAAGGTCTCCCAACAAATTGTTCGATGGTTTCATCTCTTATTTCCATCCTTGCACACTGTCACCAGGGGGCTGACTGATGGCTGGCGGGGCTGGACAGTAGCCATGAAGAATGGTATCCAGTGGGCGGAGCTGGCTGGTCATGACTACGTGCTGGATCTGGTGTCAGACCTGGAGCTTCCCAGGGACTTCCCACGACAGAAGTCCTACTTCATCGTGGGTGCAGAAGGGCCTATGACCAGCAGGGGAGGACCCAGAGTGTAGGTAGCTACCAGGGTACCCTCACAAATACAGCCTCTCCCAGGCAGAAGGCTTTTCCCACCTAGCTGCTGTGAGAGGCTGGGTTCTGAGGGTTTTTTCTAAAAAAATTTTTAGGGGCCGGGGAGATGGCTCAGTGGAATAAACACTTCCCTGGCAAGCACAAGGGCCTGAGTTCAATCCCCGGTTCCGCAAAAAAAAAAAAAAAAAATTGGTACAGGGTGTATAAGGTCTACAGGGTCTTACTATGTAGATTGAACTCATAGTGATCCTCCTGTTTTTAGCCTCCCACTGGGATTACAGGCATGTGCCACCATGCCCAGTCCCAATCACCATCTCAGCATGCCCCAGGGGCACAGCACACTGGGGATCAAACCGGGCCACTGGGCTCTGCCTAAGCAGGCACGTTAGTTCCACTGAGCTATCTGACCAGCCACCCCCCCACCTTTTTTTTTTTTTTTTGTCATGATTTGTTTTTGGTTTTGTTTGTTTTGAAATGAGTCTTGCTATGTTGCCTGGGGCAACCTGGAACTTCTGGTCTCAAGCAATCTTCGTGCCTCAGCTTCCTGAATACCTGACACCCAGCAGCCCTGTCTTCCCCCCCACCCATTGAACTCAGATCCTTGTTTTTGCCAGTCAAGCGCTTATCCTACTGAGCCAACTCCCCGGCCCCAAGCCCTGCCTTTTAAATGAAGAGTCATCCAGCTTTGGGCACAGGAGATTTGGGGGCTCTGGGGACTGTGAGTCTCTGTGGGCCAGCTACTCTGTGTTCATCCCCACAGGCTGTTTGGGAACAGCTGGGACTCAGATGAAGACACACCCATTGGGCCTCAGTCCCAGGACCATGTGACCAAAGTGCTTGACTCTGAGGGGTACTGCAGCCACAATGAGGACAGTACCAACGGAGAGCCTGAGGCTCAGAGGGGGACAGCAACACATCAAGGTCAGCCACCAAAGGCCACTATTGCTGGTGGGAATGGAGCCTAGAGGGGACTGTAGGGAGTGGGGACCAGCAGGAGAAATGAGCTTAATGTTTTTGTGCACCCTGCACCCAGATGCAGATGGCCCTGGAAAGCCCACTGTGCCCCCCAAGGGGTTGGACTGCTACCTGGACAGCCTCTTCAACCCTGTACTATCCTATGGGGATGCGGTAGGAACAGGGCGGGGCACTGACTCATAGTGGCTCCGTGTACTCTGAGTCATTCATGCCCACGGTGATATGAAGCACTGTACAGCCAGGGCCAGAGTGATGTGTCCTCTCTGAGGCTCTACCGGGGACAGAGAAAAGGATGAGGGTCTCCTTGAAGCTAGAAATGTTCCTGACCCCAGAAGGACACAAAGCAAGAATACAGGACCCCTCCCCCACCTCCCAAGACTCCATGGGAATCAGTCCTGGCTTGGTCCCTGGCTCTCCCAGCCCTCTTCTGGGAACTCCCAGAGCTCCTCTGTGCTCCCTGGGATGATACATAGCAGGGCACAACTCCTTTTTGAGCCTCAGTTTATTCCTCTGGGAAGCGGGTGTGTGGGGTGTGCTGAGTTCTAGGGAGGACTAATTGGAATACCTTTTGGTTAAAGACTGCATAGAGCAGATACATAGCCAGTGGGAACTCCCCCCTGGGTGGAGGAAGTGGCCCGGTGTCAGGTGCCTGTTGCTATGGAGCTTCAGGATTGCACACTGAGGCGGTCACTCTAGCCACCTGCTATCCCCAGGACCTGGAGAAGCCTACAGCCATTGCTTATCGCATGAAAGGGGGCGGCCAGCCTGGCGAAGGCAGCAGTAGCAGTACTGAAGAGTCTCCCAAGAGAGCCCCAGAACCAAAGCCAAGTCAGTGCGCCCCAGGGTGGCTCCAGGAGGGTAGGGGGTACTCCCTGATCTTCAGGACCAACATGGGCTGGAATAGAGGCATGCACAGGCATGGTGGTTGCTGAAGGACTAGGGCTCCCAGTTCTGTTTTCTGGCTTATTGTGTGCCCTGCCTGGTTTCCCAGTCCCTGGCCTGGATGCCTCCACACTGGCTCTGCAGCAAGCCTTCATCCACAAACAGGCTGTGCTCCTGGTGAGTGAGGCAGGGACTGTGGCTGTGGGGGTGGGGATGGACTGCCTAATCAACATTGCCACCTCTCCCTAGGCCCGGGAGATGACCCTGCAGGCCATGGCTCTCCAGCAGCAGCCCTTGAGCCCTTCCTTGAGACCCTTGCTCCCAGAGGTAAGCCTGGCCCACCTAGGATGAGAGGATGAGAGGATGAGAGGCCCTTAGAGACATCAGCTGTGAACAGGAGCACAGTGCTGCCCCCACAGCTCATCTGGGGCAGATGGGGCCCCTGAGAGCAGCTGTGTGTCCTGGAAGTCCATCTCATGCCTTGCTCTCTGCAGAAACCCATAGCGCCAGAGGCATGGCCGAAGTGTGTAGGCTCCGGCCTTCCTGCCAAACCTGTGCTCCTGAGGTCTTCTCCAAGGCCCGTGGCTCCAGCCTTTCTGGCCAAGGCTCCAAGGCCCCCCGCCAAGCCTGTGGCTGCCCCTGTTCTACCTCAGGATCGAGCTTTACCAGAAAGCAGTGAGTGTTCAGTCCACCCCAGCCTGAGGGGCTTCTCAGAACAGATGCATGTGTCTGTGGCCTATGGTCTCACTCTCTCCCCCGCCCCCCATCTTTGACCCCCAGCATCAGCCTCCCCAGAGCTGGTCCGGTACTCCACACTCAACTCGGAGCACTTTCCACAGCCCACACAGCAGATTAGGGACATCATTAGGCAGTATCAGCAGCCACTCCGGGGAGGCCGCCCTGAGGCCCTGAGGTGAGCAGCACCTGCCCTCCAAGTCACTGGCCTGTGGCCTCTCATTGCACAAGAGGGTCCCCCTTGAGGGAGGGGTGTCTGTTTATGCCAACAACTCCAGATGACCAGTGACCCCAGCAGCCCAGACTACTATCATCTCCCTTGTGCAGTATGACTTCAGACCAGCTTCTGCTCCTCTCTGGGTTCTTTATAATGATGGGGGTGATGGTGGGCAATGTTTCTTATTGTAGGAAATGTGTGGGAGGGAGATTCTGTCCAATTCACCATGGTTCCCTTAGTAGGAAGGATGGTGGGAAAGTCTTCATGAAGCGACCTGACCCTCATGAGGAGGCCCTGATGCTCCTGAAGGGGCAGATGGCTCACCTGGCCACAGCACCAGGCACTCAGGTGAGGGAGGGTAGGCTGGGCCTAGATAGAACAAAGAAGGAAGGGATTCTGGGGAGTCTCAGAAACTAGCTTTGTTTGACAGCTATGGCATGCCCCTACCCTCTGTGGGGCCCACCTGTTGCCCCCTTAACACTCTCTTTGGGGTGGGACAGGTATCCAGAGAGACTGTGGCCCTAGTGAAGCCAGTGACCAGCCCACCAAAGATGTCCATGGGGGCCACTCCAGGTGAGAGGGGAGAAGGAATGAGCAGGTATCCTGGTGTATAAGTAAATCAGAGTGCAGGTGAACTTGAGTATCAGCGGGGGGAGGGGTCTGTGTTCCTCAACCCATGTGTACATATTGTGTGGACATTAATATACTCATATAGACAAGGAAATCACACTGGTTGCTGGCTAAGCCTACCCTGGCCCTCCCTTAGTCCTACTAAGGCCCATTAAGGCAGTACCAATTGTGTCTACATGATATATAGTGGGGGGCACAGACGTTAGGTGGCTCGGCCAAGGTAGCATAGCTCCAAAGTGTCAGACCAGGGACTTAAACCAGAGTGCCTTCCTGGCACTCCAGTTGGAATCCTAACCTCTACAACCTCTATCTCATGGCAGTCACAGTGATCTTAAACTACAGAAGTCAGTTCACATGCGCCTGGCAAAGACCTTCCAGTGGCTCCCGTGATAAATTCCAAATTCTTCACTGTGGTCTTTGAGACACCTCCCCCTCCTTTAGGCACATTCTATCTTGGAATGTACCAAGCCTCTTCCTGCCTCGGGATCTTTCCACTTACCCTTCCTTCTATCTAAATGCTCCTCCTCACCATCTCTGAATGCCTGGCACCTTCACATTATTCAGGTCTCAGCTCAAGTATCATCTGTTCAGAGAGATCTACTGATACCACCTGCTCTGAAGGACCCTCCCAACCCATTCCTGCATCACCCCATTGTACTTCCAACAAAGCTCCTATCACTAAAAGCCTTGTTTCCTAATGTTCTGTTCCACCTGCACCTGCTATGAGACTCTAAAGTCAAGAGCAGGGCCTCTGTTTCTCCTGTCAGGAGGCATTCTCAGCCCTTGGTGCTGCTACTAGGCATTCCCTATATAGGACTTGTGGAGCAAAGACATGGGTTGTGTGAGTGCACCCACCTGAGCAGATATCTAGCGACTCATGGTTGTTTCCAGATCTCCTCCTCCAACCTGCCTGCCTCTACCTGCTGCCTCACTCCTCACTTCTCTTCTGCTCTCTCCAGCACTGCCTTCGAGATCACTGGAGCCCCCTGAGGAACCTGTGCAGACCCGGCTGCATCGCCTCATCAACCCCAACTTCTATGGCTACCAGAACGCCCCCTGGCGGATCTTCCTGCGCAAAGAGGTCCCTGGCAAGCCCAGGCCAGAGCCAGGGAAAGGGCTGCATTGAGATGAAGCAAGGGGATAGTTGGGGTGTTGGCCCAGGAGAATGGAGTGGGTGGTGCTAGAGCTAGGGGCAGAGCCAGAGCCCAGGAGGGACTGCTGAGGAGTGGGGCTCCTTCTGAGAAGTGGGATAGGTGAAAAAAGATGAGAGGGCAGTTGAAAGATACTCATGGAAGCCCTGTCTCACAGGTGTTTTACCCCAAGGACAACTACAGCCACCCTGTGCAGCTAGACCTTCTGTTCCGGCAGGTAAGGCTTCTCTTCCCTTTCTGTTTCACTGTACTCATAGGGCAATGGGACCATAGACTCCAAATTCTCCCATCCAAGTACTAACCAGGCATGACCCTGCTTAGCTTCCAAGATCAGATGAGTTCAGGCACATTCAGGGTGGCATTGTTGCAGACAAGACTCCAAATTCTGCTTTGTATGCTGGCGTGTGGGGTTCTTGAGCTTGGGAAGACCTCTTGCAGAATCCTCAACTCTCAGGGATGTGGTCCATGAGCTCACACTTCAGTTGAGCCACAGTCACAGTCTATGTGAACTAGGTGGGGTCAAATCCAAGCCCCACTGGACAGATAAGAAAACTGAGGCCTAAGAAGGGCAGAAAAAAAATACAAAGGTGAGAAGGAGAGGACCACTGTAAATGAAATCTAATTTATGAAGAGGATCTAGTTTACATATGACACCACTGCTGTGAAATGGGATGCCTCATTCCTATATACCCCAGAATAGTCCAACCTGGTTCCTGGCTAGTGTCCCAACTCATGCCCTGTTCCCACAGATTATGCACGACACACTCTCAGAGGCTTGCCTGCGCATCTCCCAGGATGAGAGGCTCAGGATGAAGGCCCTCTTTGGTACGGTGAGGGCAGGGAGGGATGTGAGTGGGGTAGTTACCCACAGCCACAGCCAGCCCTTTTCTAGAAGGAGGCTTATGCAGACAGGCCCAGCCCACCTACTCCCAGGTGTGCCCCTCCTCGTTTAGCTCTGGCCCTCACATGGCCAGGCTGCATGGTTGAAGTCAGCAGTCCCTGACATGCAGTGTGGTCCCAGCTATCTTGTTCATCTCTAGTTTTTTGTTTCCCAAAATGGATACTGGTCAGATACTTTCCTTCTGGGTGTAAGCCTCTCTCCCTGAGCTCCCTGAGATATTGGCTGGCAGGGGAGAGAAAGGGAGTCCTGAGTCAATGACCTCTCTTAGCCCAGAACCAGCTGGATACAAAGCAGCCTCTGGTAACAGAAAATGTGAAGCGGGCTGTGGTCAACACTGCCCGAGACAACTGGGAGATCTACTTCTCTCGCCTCTTCCCTGCCACGGTGCGAATCCTTACCTGCCCCTTCCCAGCTGCCCAGGGCGTTCAGGGCTAAGGCTCCAAGACCTTCATGTGCCCCTCATCCTCACTCCAGGGCAGCGTGGGAACTGGTGTGCAGATCCTAGCTGTGTCCCACATGGGCATCAAACTCCTTCGGATGGTCAAGAGCAGCCAGGAGGCCAGCCGGCAGCTGCATGTCCTGCGTGCATACAGGTGATGCACAGGCAGGTGGGAGGGACTGGCTGGAGACCAGGGCACAAACTGATGTCTTCATTGTGTCATTCTGTTCAGAGCTGCTTACCTGTGATGTACCAAGCAGTAAATATGTCCATTTTAGAATTTGGAAAACTGATGCACAGAAAGAAGTTGCTTGTCTCAAGTCACACAGGAAGGAAGTGGTTGAGCTAGGGGGCCCTCTACTCTGTCCTTCCATTCAGACTACATACCAGATCGGCCTGCCCTTCAAAGCTCACTTAGCGTGGGGTGACTGGATTGTAAGCAACCAAGTCCTGAGGCAGCTGGGAAAGAAAGCAGTACTGCGGCTGTGAGACCTTACGGGGTGCTCAGACTTACTTCCCTACAAGAAGTCTCTTTGTCTGTTCTAATATGAGAGCATGAAGAGCCTTAATAATTGGTTAGGTGAAACTTCTTTGCTTTAAAAGAGAGATCTGTGAGGGCAAAAGGGCAGAAGGTGATAGGAGATGAACAGAAACTCCAGAAGAGAATCATAGAGGGGAGGAAGGAGGTCCACTGGGTACCTTAGGAACTAGTATGGGACTGGGCTTCAGGGATGGGAAAGGGAAGAAACAGAATGAACAAGAGAGGCCAGCGAGAGCATTCCTCTGGCCATAGGATCTCACCTTCATGCCATCTTCCCATGCTCCAGCTTTGCAGACATCCTATTTGTGACCATGCCCTCGCAGAACATGTTGGAGTTCAACCTGGCCAGCGAGAAGGTCATCCTTTTCTCAGCCCGAGCTCACCAGGTCAAGACCCTAGTGGATGACTTCATTTTGGAGCTGAAGAAGGTCAGAATCCTCCCACAGATGCCCCTCACTGCCTGGCATGAAGGAGCCCAAAACAAGACTCTCTTGCCCTAGATCAATCCCAGCTGTACCTGTTTAAGAAGTGTGAATGCCTGTGTGTGCTCCAGGGCCTGTGTCCATGGGGTTCTCTGTGCCTTGGGCCTTTGCGCAGGTGGTGCCTTCTGCCTTGTACGTGCTTCCTACTCTCACCTAGGGAGCGCTCCCTTCTCTGATGTGATAGGTTGAGTGGGAAGAGCCAGGAAAGCTCAATCTCTGAGAAAAGGGTGAGGGGACAACAACATCTCATTTTGTCCCTCGCTGACCCAGGACTCTGACTATGTGGTTGCTGTGAGGAACTTCCTGCCTGAGGACCCAGCACTGCTGGCCTTCCACAAGGGTGATATCATTCACCTGCAGCCCCTTCAGCCACCTCGAGTGGGTCAGCACCATGGAATGGGGCAGCTATGTGTAGGGTGGGGGGAGGAGGGAGGCAGGGCCTTCCTGGCAGATGCTGACATGAGCTGGCCCACAGGGTACAGTGCTGGCTGTGTGGTCCGCAAAAAGGTGGTTTACTTGGAGGAGCTACAGCGCAGAGGCCCTGACTTCGGTGGGTAGCCCAAGGTGGCCTCTGAACCTAGAACTCTAAATAGGTTTCACACACTCACAATGAAGATGCATGAAGAGGGTTTCATGGTGCCCCAAAGCAGTCTTCCCTGGCTGGGTCTTATAAGGGTCATCTTGTGCATTGCAATGTCTGGTGGTAGCCATATAGTACAACCCTCTGCCTGCGAATGTGACTGAGGGGTGTCTGTGGGCCTTAGTGTTTCTAAGTTCACGACATAGGCCCTCTCTATGTCTGCATGCCCTGAGTGTTCTCAAGTGCTACTTTGCCCATCTGCTCCATCTCCCACTATGATTTTGTGGCCCATCCTCCTCCTCTACCTGAGCCTTTGTTTGCTCATCTGGATAAGGGCTGAAGGTATAGCTTAGTGGAATAGTGCTCATGTGGCAGGATTGATAGCATGTTCTCCCTTACAGAGCTTGAGGGAGGGTTCAAGGAAGTACCTGATTATCCCACTTTTTCCCAAGAAAAGACCTTCCATTTGGGCTCAACCCCATTTCTGCGTGCTAGGCTGGAGATTCGGGACAATCCATGGTCGTGTGGGCCGCTTCCCTTCTGACCTAGTGCAGCCTGCTGCTGCCCCTGACTTCCTGCAGCTACCAGTTGAGCCGAGCCGGGGCCAGGCTGCAGCTGTGGCTGCTGCTGTGGCCTCTACAGCTGCTGCACAGGAGGTGGGCCGCAGGAGAGAGGTGAGAACAGTGGTGGGACCAGGCCACAAGGGGTGAGGAAGGGTAGCCTGACTGCAATTCTAGAAGCAATCAGGTTAGCCAAAAGCATGGCCAGTCCTAGAACAGAGCCAGCCAGATGTATGACCCACAAGATAAAACCAGAGGTGATTGGAGGTGTGTCCAAGTGAGGTGGGGAAGGTTAATTGGTTGTAAACAGAGTAAAGAAGCAGGATCAGCCTTAGCCATCCAGTGGGTAAAATCAACCAGGAGTGGCACTGAGTCAGGTGAACAGGACAGGGGTGGAATCAGTGCAAATACTGGAGTAAAGGGTGGTATCAATCTTGACAAAACAGCCACCCCCATGCAGGGCAGGCCTGGCAGAGACATGGTTTAGAGGGGTAGAAAGCAGGCTCAACCCAAATGTGGTAGGTGTGGCAGGCTTAAAGGGGTGAGGCTAAGTGGATGGTGGCAGTCCAGATGCCTGGATGGGTTAATGAGTGGGCAGCTAGAGAAAGCCCAGGCTCTTGGGGCTGGGAAGATGGCTCAGTGGAATAAGTCCTTCCCTGGCAAGCGCAAGGGCCTGAGTTCAATCCCCAGTTCCACCAAAAAAAAAAAAAAGAAAGAAAAAAAAAAAAAAAAGCCTGGGCTCCATCCATGAAGACTTGCCTTCAATCATCTTTGACTGGAGGACAAAGTAGGGTATGGCCAGACAGGCCTTCCTAGCTCCCTTTTTCACACAGGGTCCCCCAGTTAGGGCCCGTTCTGCAGACCGTGGAGAGGATGCGCTTGAGTTTTCACCATACACAATGCTTGAGTTTGCCCAGAAGTATTTCCGAGACCCTCAGAGGCGGCCCCAGTGAGTAGTGGTTCCATCCCTCTTCCCTGCACCAAGAAAGACTCTTCTGAGTGTCAAACCTGCAGGTGGGGCAGGTGGGGTGGGTGCACCTGGCAGTAAGGTCTGCTCAGCCTCAGATTCTGGGTGCCTTCCTGCCTGGTAGACTAACCTGCCAGCTGGATCAAGAACATTTCCACTGGGGGCCTGCGGGTTAGCTCAGTTGTTTAAGTGCCTACTCATGCAAATGCAGTCAGGCACAGGGGACTGTGGTTCAATCCCCAGATCTACATGCCTTACCCACCCTTAAGACAGCCTGAGCCAGCCCCCCCGCCAAAAAAAATCCTTCTTAACTTTAGATTGGGCGTGGTGGCATGTGCCTATAATCCCAGCACTTGGGAGGCTGTAAACAGGAGGATCACTACAAATCCAATCTATGCAGTGAGCCCCTGTAGTAAAATATGAAGAAAAAAAAAGAACATTTCCACTTGGGAAAAGTTGTTGCTACAGACAGAGAGGCAAGACTGGTCAACAGCATCTCCTTGCTGCTGCAGGGATGGCATCAAGCCGAAATGCAAGGAGGACCGGGAGTCCAGAACATTGGAGGACATGCTTTGCTTCACCAAGGTCTCTAGGCCTGGGCCTCAGTTCCTCCATCTGTAAAATGGTGATGCAAACACACCACCCCCCCTCCACCCCAGGACAAACAAGCTTGACCTTAGGGAGATTGTCCAGCTCCTGTAGCTGAGGAGTCAGGAATCCTCCCAGGGACAGCATCTGTCCCCAATGTCAGACCTGGCTCCCCTTGAGTGACATGGGCCTAGTAGTACAATGTGGCCCTCTTCTGTCCCTCCATTGTGACAGCTGCTTCCTTCTCGTGCAGACCCCACTCCAGGAATCCCTTATTGAGCTCAGTGACAGCAGCCTCAACAAGATGGCCACAGACATGTTCCTAGGTAGGAGGGTGGGGCTCCAGCCATCACCCGGGGAAGATGCCACTGTGTGATCCCAGCTTGTCATCACTCCTCTCTGGCCCTCAGATTCTTTCCCTTTCCCAACCCAGACTTGAGACATGCTGAAGAAAATGCACCCCCTAGCTGCCTATGGCCACAGCCTCCTGGGGAGGGGTTTGATCGCTGGGTCCTTGGGGAATGGGAAGTTGGGACTTGGTTGGCCTGAGCAAGGTAGGTCTTTTCTACAGCTGTGATGAGGTTCATGGGTGATACCCCATTGAAAGGCCAGAGTGAACTGGACGTGCTGTGCACCCTCTTGAAGGTCAGTCTAAGCAATTTTGCTGAGGTTCCCTTTACTCTGTGGTTTTCTTTCCTTGTCTATCAATCAGAGTTGCAGGACATTAGAATGGGAAGCTGTTTCCATGGTCCAGAAAAATAAAGCCTGCTGTTGAAGGGTTGGGGAAGGAACACCGGGCCTATATCTAGGTGCCTAAGCTGCTTTTCTGTACCCGGTATGTTGAATGACTCCTGTGACCTGGGCTGCCCTCTTTCAGCTTTGTGAGGATCATGAGGTCATGCGAGATGAGGGTTACTGCCAAATTGTGAAGCAGATCACAGAAAACACCAGCTCCAAGCAGTGAGTCTTCTGGGCATCTCCTCAACCCCTACATTGTATCCAGGTTCCAAGAGTGGCCAGTTCAGCCCCCTACCTCCTGAGACCTATCCTCTTTTCATCCAGATTCTTAGATGCCAGAAACACCGATCAACTTGTTTAAATGAAAGAGGTAACTTATTGGTTTGGTTGGCTACAAAGTCAGTGAGATATGGCTTCAGGTAAGCTAGATCTAGGTGTCCTTAGGAATCAGGCTTTCTCCATTCTTGACTTTGCTTTCCTCTGTGTGGATATCATTCTCAAGCAGCCTCTCTCAAGATGAACAAAGTAACAGTACTGGGGAGACATTCTCCCAGTACAGCAATCCCAGGGAAAACAAAACTGATCCAGTATTTGCTGCAGGAACTCCCAAACGCAACTTTATTGCCTGGAGTTGGTCACATTCTTATCCTTGAACCAACCACACTGGCTGGAATATACAAAATGTTGACTGGTTAGACCTGGGATGTTTCTAGGCTCATATAGCCAAGGGCAAGACAAAAGGCTGTGACCACTTAGGTTATGGTTCCAATCCAGCTCTTTTTTTAAAGGATGAACTCTTTTTTATTTATTTATTTATTTATTTATTTATTTATTTTGTGTGTGTGTGGCCAGTTCAGCCCACCAGGGGGTGGGGCGGGCTGGCATGTGGTGCTGGGGATTGAACCGCGGTCCCTGTGCTTTTACTCAGCTTGTTCTAAGCAGGTGCTTTAGACCACTGAGCCATCTCACCAGCCCCCCAATCCAGCTCTTGACCTTGTGCAAATCACTCTGTTTTGTCCAGTTCTGCATCATATGCCCATTCCTAAACAAGAGACTGTGGCCAGGGGTTGGGAGTTGCAGGCCACAATGTTCTAATTAGCCAGACCTGATTCCCATGCCTAGCTCCAGACTATAGGAATGTAGTGAAGGGTAAGTAATTTGTGAAAAGAAACTCAAGTACTTTTCTGAGACACAAGAGGTGCCCATAGTTGAAACCTCCACAGCCAGAGCAGTATGATGATGAACAACTCTTTCACTCAGGCCGGGCCAGCACACTGCAGGTGCCCGGTGTGCTGTGTATGCTGCTTTTGCACAGGCTGCCTGTCCCCCGGACTTGCTGCCTCTACCCTGCATAGCCCCAGCAGGTTCCATCTTGCCAAGAAGTCTCCCCAGAGAAATGCTCTACTCAGAAAAGCCTTCAGGACCTCATCCCTATCCTTCCTTGTCTTTACCTGACTTCCCAGGCAGAATATGCTTTTGCATGGCCTCAGGATCCATCTGCCCTGCACTTACTGTCCAGGACAGGACACATGTCCTCAGAGTACAGGAGCTGCCTCGGATTTAATTCTCCAGGTCAATCCCAGGAAGCTCCTGTGGTGCCACAACCTGTGGTGCTGTGGCCTCCTGAAATGTGGCCTGTGTGTGTCCTTCCAGAGACAGCTGCCAACGAGGCTGGAGGCTGCTGTACATCATGGCTGCCTACCACAGCTGCTCTGAGGTCCTCTACCCACACCTCCTGCGCTTTCTCCAGCATGTGAGCAGGACCCCAGGAATGCCCTTCCAGGGTGAGAAGCTCATGAGTGGGGCTGTACATGTCTTGGGTGGGAATAGGGCAGGCAGCTGGTGAGAGAGAAACTCAAAACAGTCTGGCCCTTTGGGGTGCTGGGCAATGTTAACTTACTTGCCAAACATTCATGGAGTTCCCAGAGAGGTTGGTGTGCTGGGTCACTGCTTCCTGGAGGAGCTACTGGCCCCGGTGGTGAGCTCCTAGGAAGGACTCCCAGGTAGATGGAGTGGCCGGAGCAAAGGTCTAAAGATGGGAGTATGTTGCACATGGGAGAGGCAGAGAAGGAGGTGGGCAAGAAGCCAGTGTTCTGCTGGGACTCAACAAGGGTCTAAAGTGGGCCAAAGTTGGTGATATCTCCTTTTGCCTTTGAATTTTGCAGCAAGAGACTGCTTCTGAGCCTTATTTCAACATCAACCTGAGGGCCCCCTAAGAAAGAGGCTAGGAGTCCTCTAGTCACCTTATAGTGATGGCAGGCATAGTCAGGGGACCTCGCCCTTCCTGCATCTGAGTCTTTCTCTCTCTGATTCAATTAAAAACATTCCCTGACCCAGAGATAAACAGACCCAGCTCCCCAGGGAAGGGCTCCTAGATGTGAGGAAGCAGCAGAATGTGCCCCAGAACTCTTGGTCTCTCCCCAGAGCAGAATGAGGGCACTGCTGAACCTAGAGATCTGCAGCCTGATGGTGAGGTCTTTGAGTGCCTGGGGGAGACAGGGCAATTGGCAAGGGGCCCAGCTGGCAGAGGCAGAGTGTGTTACCCTAGCCACAGAGCCTATTGGGGATGAGTTCCCATCCACAGCTCAGGGTCACAGCTGTTTCTAGGCTCATATAGCCAAGGGCAAGACAAAAGGCTGTGACCACTTAGGATATGGTTCCAACCCAGAGCTTGACCTTGTGCAAATCACTGGACCTTGCTGAGCTCAGATTCCTCCATTATCAAGTAGGGAAAGAAAATACCTGTCCTATAACTTGTAGAGAGAGTATGGGGAGGCTTATGGCTGGGGGCAAGAAGAGCTCCTTTCTCTCACTGCCAGCCTTTGGCAAGGCTTGACTCCTACCCCTGTAGGGATTGCTAAGGCTTGTGAGCAGAACCTGAAGAAGACCTTGCGCTTCGGGGGACGTCTAGAGCTCCCCAGCAGCATGGAGCTTCGGGCCATGTTGGTGAGCTGGTGTGGGGCTGGGAGTTGAGGAAAGCAGGAGTCGTGGGCTTGCCCAGAGACCCCAGTGTTAGTGTGCTGCTCAGGGTTTGCAGATGGGCCCTGTGAGGGGCATAAGAGTTCCTACACATGTGTGTCCAGGACCCCTTGGCTTGGGGCCTTCCATAGCAGGGGACTATAGCTGTTTCAGATCCTAACACCCAGCTTCTTTTCCCTCTTGTTTCATCCCCCAGGCAGGTCGCAGTTCCAAAAGGCAGCTTTTCCTTCTTCCTGGGGGCCTTGAACGCCATCTAAAAATCAAAACATGCACTGTGAGTAAGAGGATAGCCCTAGTAGGCAGGCACTGTAAGAACAAGGGACATCCCAGTCTTTGGAGTCTGGGTTGAGTGAACCCCCAAGGAGCTGAAGTCCTCAGAGGCTTTCCCAAACTGCGTAAGGCAAGACATACATTTGACCTCCATATTCACAGGTTCTGTACCTACAGATTGAAAAGCATAAAAGTTACATCTGAGCCAGGCATGGTAGCACACATCTATAATCCCACAAGTCAGGAGGCTGAGGCAGGAGGACTGCCTCAGGTTTAAGGCCAGCCTGGGCTATATACAGAGACCATCTGGAAAAAAACTAAAAATAAGTTACATCTGAATTGAACATGTATCGATTTCTTATCATCATTCTCAAAACAGTACATTAAAACAACTATTTACATAGCATTGGGCCAGGGAGATAGCTCAGTGGCATAAGTGCTTGCCTGGCAAGTGCAAGGTCCCAAGTTGGATCCCTGATACTGGAAATACAAATAAGAATAAAAACAAACATACAGGGCCAGGGAGATGGCTTAGTAGAATAAGTGCTTCTCTGGCAAGTGCAAGGGGCTGAGTTCAATCCCCAGTTCCACAAAAAAAAAAAAAAAAAGAAAAAAGAAAAGAAAAGAAAAGAAACATAGCATTAGGTATCATAAGTCACCTAGACATGATTTAGTTTATTAAAGGTTAATGATAATATGAAAATACTACACAATCTTGGATCAGGAGCTTGGGTGTCCTTGAATTTTGGTGTCTGAAGGGATTTGGTGTCTCATGGATACTGAGGAGTGACTAGAATTCTCAGAAGAGCAAGCCAAGCCTCTGAGAGTTTAAGCCTCCAGCTCAGGGTCATATTGCAAAAAGAGAAAAGGGCAGAATTTGAACCTAAGGCTTAGACTCCAGAGGCTGTGCTCTCTACCTGCATGAGGAAGATTCTCTGAGACCTCAAGGATTGTGCACCTCTGTAAAGAGAAGCTGAGGAATTCCACAGTCAGCTCCTGGGGCCTGGGTGGAGCTGGGTAGGGCAGAGGTCAGGCCCAGCTGGCACAGCCTGGTCCTTCCTGCCCCACCCCAGGTGGCTCTGGATGTGGTGGAGGAGATCTGTGCCGAGATGGCTCTGACACGCCCGGAGGCCTTCAATGAATATGTGATCTTTGTTGTCACCAACCGAGGTGAGTGGCCAAGAGGATCTCTCCAGAGATGGTATTTCCAGGAGCTTCTTGTGACTGTTGTAGCAAATTATCACAAACTCAGCAGTTTACAATAACACAGATTTATTATCTTAGTTTTATCATTATCTTACAGATTTATTATCTTACAATTCTGAAAGTCAGAAGTGCTGAAATGAGAGTCTTCTGAGCTGTGCTGCTTTCAGGGCTGTGTTGCCTAGGCAGTGATGGCAAACTTTTTTGAGATTTCACTCATGCCATAGGTTTGCCACCACTGCCCTAGGGGCTTATGTTTCCTTTCCTTTTCCAGCTTCTAGAGGTTGCCATGTTTCTTGGCTCACTGCCTCTTCCTCTATCTCCAAAGCCAAAGGAGTAGTGTTTGAATCCTTTCTCTTTCTTTCCTTCCACTCCTTTGACTCTGAATCTCCTGCCTCCCTCAGTAAAACACTATGCTTAGATTGGGCCTGCTGAGATAAGCCAGGATAATCTCCCCTTCTCAAGATCCTTAATCAAATCTGCAGTCACTTTTTCCATGAAGGTGACATATTCACCAATTCTGGGGATTAGGACTGGATGTCTTTGGAGACAGTTATCAGCTGACCACAAAAACTGAACAACTTATCCAAGGTCACACAGTGGGGATATGAACGCCCCACAATCTGGCCTTTTGATGCTGAACTTCTATGACCATGCCAACTCCCTTCTTTGGTCAAACAAATGTCAGTGCAGGAAAGAAAATCTTGCAACTCTCCAAGGCTTAACCTTTGCACCTCCACCTGCACCATGTGCCCAGTTGAGGTTTCTCAAAAGGTCTGCCAAAAGGCATCCACTGGGGCTTGTGGGCTAAACCTGCTGTGCCACTTCTCTTCCCCAAGCACCTCTAAAAAGCAGCTGTACTTTCTCCAAGCATAACCTAGGGTGTCTTCCCAGGCCCAGGCAGGCCACCTTCTAAGGCTAGTAGGGAGCCTTCCATGGGAGAAGAAACATCAGTTGCACCTTTGAAAGGATTTAATTTCAGTGAAACACAAAGCACTCTGTTGCATAAATATGTTCTTTTTAAAAACAGCACTGGGGATGGAGCTCAAGCCCTTTGTACTAAGCTATATCCCCTGCCCTTTTTATTTTTTGAGTCTCATAAGATGAAAAGCTAGGTTTGAACTTGCAATCCTCCTGCTTCAGTTTCCCAAAGACAGACCTTGTAATCTGGGATTGCAAGGGTATATGCTCCCCTTTAGGGAGGAAGGTGTGTTCCAGAGTGGGGAGGTGGCTTCTTGGAGGTGACATGTTACCTGGGTGGCAGGTGGGGGTCTGTATCCTTCCTCCGCACAGGTGCCCAAGTGTCTCCCCACCCAGTGCCGGGTTCCCACTGTCTACAGGTCAGCATGTGTGCCCGCTCAGCCGCTGTGCTTACATCCTGGATGTGGCCTCAGAGATGGAACAGGTGGATGGTGGCTACATGCTCTGGTTCCGGCGCATACTCTGGGATCAGCCACTCAAGTTTGAGAATGAGCTGTATGTGACTATGCACTACAATCAGGTCAGTGCATGCACGTAGGCCATCTGCCACTCTGGGACCTTGTGGGTTTCCGGGGGCCTGTGAGGTCAGTTGCCACAGTCTGTTTTTGTGGAACAGATTCTGAAGCTTCAGCAATTCCATGCTCAGAATACTTAGCTGTTGTGGCCACATGGTGTCCCTGTTAAAGCTGGGCCTTGGTTCTGAGACCCCAGGGGAGAGGAGTGTGTACAACCAAAAACTTTGTAAAAATCTTCAAGTCCTGCCTCAGGTCTGTGGGTCAGAATCTCAGTGGTGCAGCCCACTGAGATTGTAATGAGCCCCTCCGTGATTCTGGAGCAAGCTGCATTTTTGAGAAACACAGACCTCATGGACACTTGTGATTACCACAGTCATGATACTCTGCTTTTATTCTTATTATTACCTTTGGGGAGGGGGTACTGGACATGGATCCTAGGTCCCTCTACATACTAGGCAAGTGCTGTACCACTGACCTGCAATCTTGGCCCTGATGCTCTGCTTTTAAACAACCCAAACTCTTCATATTACTGTGGAGATTCCACTGTAGGTCTGAGGCCACGGCCCTCATAGCTTCCCCCCCACCCCCACCACATGCCTCTGTCACTCCCTGAAGCCACCCCCAGAAGTAGATAGGACTGGACTTCTAAATGCCTGTCTCCATGGCCCTTGCAGATAAATGCCTGAATGTGCCTGCCAAACAGCCCTTCACATGATCCCTCCCTGTAGGTGCTGCCTGACTACCTGAAGGGCCTCTTCAGTAGCATGCCAGCCAGTCGGCCCAGTGAACAACAGTTGCAGCAGGTGTCCAAGCTGGCCTCACTGCAGCACCGTGCCAGGGACCACCTCTACTTGCCCAGCATGTGAGCACCTACCCGGCTGCCTCCCTCTGTGGGCAGGAAGTGGGAATGGTATCTCAGCCCAACCCACTGTGCTCAGAGCTGCCACTGCCCATCCCAGCCTCCAGGATTCCCCTCTTGCAGTGAGAGAGCTATCTGGGAAAGGGTTGTCTCTCTCTTGGGCCTGAAGTTTTATAGTGCACTATAGGAGCTAGGACCTGGACTTCCTTCTTTGACAAGTTGCTTCTGGCTGGTATTCATAGTGCAGAGCAAAGAAGCTGAGAGAGTGAGAGAGTCCTTTTTTTTTTTTTTTTTTTTAATGTACTTGGTAGAGGGTCTCACTATGCAGCTCAGACTCATAGTGATCCTGCTGTTTTCAGCCTCCCCAGCGCTGGGATTACAGGTGTACGCCACCATGCCCAGTCTCATTGGCTGGTTCAGTGTGCCCAGTGGCAGGGCTGGCGCAGCATGTGGTACAGATTGAACCCGTCCCTGTGCTTGCCTAAGCAGGCGCTTAGTCCGATGAGCTATCTTGCCAGCCCTGAGAGATTCCATTTAATGAAAATTTCAGGACACACAGACCTTGTAGCCCACGAAACAGGCATGGATATGCAGATTTAGCCACAAAAACATTCACTGCAGCATTACTGACAACAGCAAAAGATTGAAAGAAACCTTCATATCCAATAACAGAGGATTCACTAAATAAGCTGATGTCTCAAAGATGTGATCAGTGCTCAGAGTATAAATCAGTCTCAGGGGCTAGTGATGTCTTTAGTAGTACAGTACCTACTGGTAAGCACAAGGACCTGAGTTTGTACCTGAGTTTGATTCTTGGTACCAAAAAAAATCAGTCTCTGGACTTTTTCTTTACTTGAAAATAGGATCCCAGGCTGGTGAGATAGCTAGGCAAGCTTAGGGAAAACGGTTAGATCTCAGGCATTACATGCCTCCCCAGCCCACCCCCAGGGCAGGCTTTGCCAATCACAAAAAAAAAAAAAAAAAAAAAAGGTTCTCAAGGCTAGGGATGTATCTCAATGGTAAGAGTGACTGACTAGCATGCATGAGACCTCGGTTTTAATACCTAACACTACTACACACACACACACACACACACACACACACACACACACACACACACGAAGGGGGGGAAGAAAGGGAAAGAACAAATAAGATCCTAAAATACTTGTGTTTATATTTACCCTATTCAAAATTGAAACTGAAACTGAAGGGCCAGCCAAAGAGCTCAGCAGATTAAAATGCCTGCAAGCAGGTGCAGGGGCCAGGGGTTCAATCCCTGGGCCTGCCATGCTGGCCCCACCCCCGGAGCACGCTGAGACAGTAATTGAGACTGGGTATGGTGTTGTGTGCCTGTAATCTCAGCTCCTGGGAGGCTGTAAACAGGCGGATCACTACAAGTCCTATTTAGTAGTGAGACCCTGAATACCCTGTAGACCCTTCCCTAAAATACAAAGAAAAAAAAAAAAAATAAGAATGAGCCAGGTGTGGTGTTATATGCCTGTAATCCCAGTACTCAGGAGGCTGAGACAGGAGTATCACCGCTAGTTTGAGGCCATCCTGTGCTACATAACTAGCTCAAGGTTATCCTGAACCACATAGTGAGACTTTGTCTCAAAAATAAATAAATAAATAAACCTACTACATGTTTTACATAAATAACATTTTATGAAAGAATATCTATTGAAAATCAGTGAAAAGAGCAGCTGCATCACACTGTAAAGCTGCTTCCTGTCTGAGTTAGTAGGATAGAGCTGGATTTGTAGATCTGATCAGGCAATTACCATCTTGCCTATCTTGCACCTAGTTACATAGCCTCAGAGAAAAGTCTGTGGTACAATTCCAAGGGAGTAAGAGAGAATGAGGCAAAAGACATGTTACTATTATGAAAATGTTTCTGACCTCCCAGACCCTTTTATCATGGTTTTTGAGATAGTGTTTTACTATATAGTTCAGACTGGCCTCAAAACTGTGGCAAACATCCTGCTTCAGTCTCTCAAGCACTGGGATTATAGATGTGCACCCCCATTCCCAGCTCAGACCTCCCAGACTCTTGACTACACTCTGAGAATGCCTGGTGTAAACCATAGGAAAATGAACTGGGTGTGGTGGTGCTCCCTATATCCCCAGCACGCGGGAGGCTGAGGCAAGAGGATTGCCATGAATTTAAGACCAGCCTAAGCTATACAGTGAGTGCAAGGCCAGCCTGAACTACATAGAGGGACCCTGTCTCAAAAAAACAAAAAGTAATCTTTCTGCTTCTGCCTCCCTCATAGTTGGGACTACAGGTATAAACTACCACACCTGCTGGGTTTTTACTTTTTATGAGGCATTCTACATATGTATCATTTAAACTATTTTGCCCAACTATTCTTTAAAAACAAACACTTTCACAGACGAGGACACTGAGGTTTACTGAAGCTAGTTGCAGGGGGCATGACACAAAGGTTGGGGAATGGCTTCAGATGCCAGGCTTTTTAAAAAATTATTTTTTCTCCTTTTTTAGGGGGTGGAGGTACTGGGAATTGAACTCTGGGCCTCACACCTGCTATGCATGCACTCTATCACTGAGCCATATCCCTAGCATCTTAGTGCCAGGCTCTTAATCCAGCAATACAAAGGCAGAGAGATGCTACCAGGGAGCGCTGTGGGGGAGGGGGATCCCCAATTTTCTTTCAGCAGTCTTCCCACTGGAGTTGGAATGGGCTAGGATTGCTGTTGGTATTTTACATGTCCTTAGGAGTAAAGGAGTTGGCCTGAGAGAACCAGCATTTGTGTGTGTGTGTGTGTGTGTGTGTGTTGGGGGGGGGGTTCCAGAGCAGAAAGCAAGGTGTCCTGGCTGATGGCCCCTAGGACTTGGTTCAAAGACCCAGCCTCCCCTGACCCATCCTCTAACCAGCTTCCTGGTGCTGCTTTGCCTGCTTTGATGTTTCTCCCAGCCCTGTGCCTTGTCCCCTTCCAGCTTGGGCTTCTCCTTGGAGGCAGGAGCTACAAAAGACAAACCCATGTTGGGTTCAAGTCTTATTCTCCACACACTCAGTCGCTGTGTGGTCCTGGACTCTGGTGAACTTCTCAGTTCCTTCACCTGCAAACAGTGGTCGTAAGGAAACTGGCTGGCCCTGGCAGTGACTAAGCGCCTGATGTGTACCAAGGCACCATGGGATCCTTGGTGCCCCTCTATTGCCCCTTAATGTACTGCAGTATTTACTTTTCCAAGAAGGTGCATCATCATGTCAGCTTTGCATTATGCCTGCTGCACAATGGGGATTGAATGGTGGGTGCTCAGAACTTTGTCTCCTCCACACATAGGCGGGAGGTCCAGGAGTACATTCCGGCCCAGCTGTACCGCACTATGGCTGGCTCTGCCTGGCTCAACCTGATTGGCCAGCACAGGCAGCAGACGCAGGCGCTCAGCCCTCACCAGGCCCGTGCCCAATTCCTGGGTAAGAACCAGGGATGGGACACACAGCTGGGAAAATCATCATGGGGGGGCACACTGGAAGAGGAGGCAGAACCATCTCTTTCTTTGTACAAAGGCGTTTTCAGTGCCAGCTGAGCTTCTCACTTGCTTTGAGAGAAGACGTTTTAACATTTTTCCCAAAGGCATCACCTGGGCTGGGGGTGACTGAGTACATACAAAGAGTAGAAAATAAAGAAAAGCCTGAACCAAAAGGAGAGGGGGAGAGAGGGGTGGGGGGACAGAGGGGTGGAGGAGAGGAAAGCTGAGGATCATGGGTGTCATAGATGTACTGGCTAACTTGATAATGCCCCTCTCCCTGTTGCAGGCCTCCTCAGTGCCTTTCCTATGTTTGGCTCCTCTTTCTTCTTCATCCAGAGCTGCAGCAACATTGCTGTGCCAGCCCCCTGCATCCTAGCTGTCAACCACAATGGTCTCAACTTCCTCAGCACCGAGACCCATGTGAGTGGCCTCAGTTTGGCTGTGCCAATATATCCCAGTCCTTTGGCCTGCCACTTCCTTCCAGGGGCCAACATCACCAACCGTGGAAGATGGATTCTACCACTTAACACCTGGATGATCTCTACCAAGTGTCTTTTCCCTTCTCAGAGCCTCACTTTCCCATCTAGAAAATGGTAATAATGGTAGAATCCACCTCATAGGGCTGATTTTAAGGTGACATGGGGCAAAACATATGCTAAACCTTCAAATAGTGGATTGGTCTGCTCAGGCTGCCGTGACAAAATGCCACAGACTCCATAGTTTATGCAACACAGGTTTCTTTTCTCATCGTTATGGAAGTTGAAAATTATAGACCAAGCTATCAGTGGGTCTGGTCTTTTCCTTGGCTTCTAGATAGCCACTTTTTCACTGTGTCCTCATGTGGCCTTTTCTCTGTGTGTACATTCCTGGCATCTCTGTGTATGTCAGGTTCCTCTTATAAGGACACCACTCAGGACAAGCCCAATAGCTCAGCAGATTAAAATGCCTGCTTAAACAGGCATAGGGACTGGGGTTCAATCCCTGGCGCGCTATGCTGGCCCTGCCACCAGGCTGTGCCGAGACAGTGACTGAGACTGAGCGTGGTGTCACACACCTGTAATCCCAGTGCTTCGGAGGCTGAAAACAGGAGGATCACCGAGTCCGATCTGTGTAGTGAGACCCTGTATGGTCCCTGTACTTAAATATATAATAATATATTGTGCCCAATTAGGGGCCACTCTGACAGCCTTGTTCTAACTGAATCACCTCTTTGTTGTCTGTGGTGCTGGGGATGCAACCCCAGGCATCAAACATGCTAGACAGGCATTGTACCACTGAGACAAATTCCTGGCCCCCTAATCTCCTCTTTAAAGGCCCTATCAAAAAATAAATTAAAAAATAAATAAATACAAATAAAGGCCCTATTTCCAAATATAGCCATATTCAAGGTACTGGGGCCTAGGATTCCACATAGGAATTTTCAGGGGACACAATTCATCCCATCACAAATAGAATCTCTTACCTTCTTAGTTTCTGGATGAGGGTTCTATGTGGCGATGGTGGGGGGTGGTGAAGGGGACTTAAGGAAACACTAGAGTAAGCATGTGGGGCAGGGAAGTGGTAGCGACAATACAAGCTGCATTATAATGCAAGCTGTCAATGTGGGTAGCTGCAGGTGGTCGGTCCAGTTGGGGACCCAGGACAGCACAGAGCAGTGATGATGAATCCTATAGAGGCTTCAGTGATAACACACATCCTGCTGTGGCATGCATGCGATAGGTTCTCCACCACTGGCATAGTGCATGCCCTTCTCTCCTGAGGTAGGGAGCCAGGGTGTCTACCACCACTCCCCGACCATCATCGGTCAAGGGCTTCTTTCTGCACCATTACCTCAGCATCACTCTAGCTTTCCTGTGTGTGATTTGTTTCTTCCTTGGGCTAGAAATAAAGCCGCACACAAAAGAGCACAGATGTTCATGGAAGGAGCTCTGATGCGCAGGTCAGGACACCAACAGGTGTATACCCCTGTATCCCAAGCAGCATGAACCATGCCTGGCAAACTGTAGGTACAGCATTAGCATTAGTTGAATCTCAGGTGAAGACACTGACACCCAAGGTAGAATGACTGGCTCAGAGTCACACAGCAAGTCACTATGGAATGGATACTTGAAATGGGCTTTCCTGCTCTCTGGTCTCATCTGAAGGAGAAGGTTTGGCATGGTTAAGACTATCGCTAGGGCCGGGGAGATGGCTCAGTAGAATGAGTGCTTCCCTGGCACGCGCAAGAGTCTGAGTTCAATCCCTGGTTCTGCAAAAAAAAAAAAAAAAAAAAAAGAGAGAGAGAGAGAGAGAGAGAGAGAGAGAGAGAAGAACTACATTCCGCCAAAAAAAAAAAAAAAAAAAAAAAAGACTATCCCCACCCACACGTCTGTCTGGCTTCTCTCCCCCACTCCCAGGAACTGATAGTGAAGTTCCCTCTGAAGGAGATCCAGTCTACACGGACCCAGCGACCCACTGCCAATTCCAGCTATCCCTATGTGGAGATTGCACTGGGGGATGTGGTGGCCCAGCGCACCATGCAGCTGCAGCTGGAGCAGGTGAGCCCAGGCGCTTTCTCCCAATTCTATTTATGAGTCTGTTCACTAATTCTATTCATGAGCCTTGCTCTGGGGAGCCAATCAAGTGCTCGATGTACCCCCTAAAAAATCCAACCTAGTGAAGCACAGAACTGCAAGTCATTATGGTGTTCCAGCAAGGTCACTTGGTAACGTGGCCATAGGAAAGGGCTCAGATCATTTACAGAATAGCAATGATGGGACATTGATGGGACAGTGGGGAGACACAACCAGAGGAAGGGATGTCTTGAAGCTCTCTGAATGTTAACTGAGAATCTGGGGCTTTTTCTTGAGAAGCTATAGAAAGTTGTGAGTGAGCAGGAACATAGGTTTTACAAAACTGACTGGGCCTGAGGCCAGGTTTGACTGTGGCGTCTAGGATTGCAGCTGGGGGAAGTGGTAAACTGAGACCAACCTGCTTTGTGCCTTCTCAACTATGACTGCCCCTTAAAAAAGCAGATAGTAGCCGAGGAGATGGCTCAGTAGAATAAGTGCTTTCCTGGCAAGCACAAGGGCCTGAGTTCAATCCCCGGTTCCACCAAAAAAAACCCAAACAAAACAAAAAGCAGATAATAGATAAGGTAGCCCGCAGGGCTGGTCATAGCTAAGCCTCACAAAGAACACTGCAGTGTAGTGTATGACCTCAGGCCTCTTACCACCCAAATTCAAACCCTGTGCCTGCAGGGGCAAGGTATGTGACGTTTCATAGCTCTGGACCTGTTTCCTTACTTGCATAATGATGTCATAGTGCTATCTCAAAGGGACACTGCAGGGATTAAACATAAAGCCCTCAAAAGGAAGCCTGGCACAGTCAGCACCCAGAAGTGCAGCTGGCACCATTTTCCCATCGAAACCAGCTTCTGTTACCCTAGGAAATCCCCGAAGGACTTCCTACACTAGCTTCGGTATGTGAGCCACACTCACAGATCAATTTTCTGAAATTCCTTAGTACCTTCCTTCCCCACGCTGCTACAGCTGGGAAGCAGGCTCAGCTGACGTGATTGAGATTCCTTCAGGCCTGGGTCACTCCCTGTTCTAGACTGTGGTTCCCAGGAGTAACCATGGCAGCACATAGCCAGATACTTAGCATTTATTGATTGGACTAACTTTGGGAGATTTTCTGGGGGTGAAATCCGAGAATTCAAGAGTTAGGATCACTGTTCATGGATTAATATTTTTAAAAATCTAAACGATGTACACGCATTGAATGGCATTGAATCCTTTTTCCAGCCCTGTGAGGCAAGGCCAGGTAAACTGAGACCCAACAGATGGGGCTGGTGAATCTCTGAGAAGGGAAGTAACTGGCCTCCAATCACATAGTGTAGTCACAGCAGGTCCTTGGTTGCTTGCCCCTTCTGGCCTGAAGCCCACCATTCTGCCTTTCCTCTCTTCATGCTCCTCCACACACCCTGTGGGGTTCTGGTGGGGAGTATGAAGGATCCTGTTCAGACAGTGCTCTCCACCTCTCTCCCACCTATGTCTCCATTCTGCACATCCCAGCAAGGGTAAGAGGGGGGAGGAGTGAGGTGAGCATGGACTGTCACTTTGTCCCCTGCAGTGTCTGGAGTTATGTCGTGTGGTGGCTGTGCATGTGGAGAACCTACTCAGTGCCCGGGAGAAGCGGCTCACACTACCCCCCAGTGAGATTACCCTACTGTGACCTGGCTCCAAGCCCTCCAGATGCTTTCTGCCAGAAGACTCAGTGTGTGGCTTCAGGAAAGCCACTGTACCTCTTTTTAAGTCAGTGACCCCAGGAAGGGCCAAAACCCTGGAAGAAATCACAGGAGGAAGAGCAACCCACGAACCCCCAAGAGTACTGACCCAGAGTTGGGACAGAGTCACAGCCTGCAGACTTGGGCCAGACAGCCAAAGAAAACTGTCAAAGAAAAAAGAAAACAAAGAAACTGTCAAAGGCTGGTGTGTAGTACAGGGAATAGTGGGCCTCCTGCAGGGTGCCTTCTACAGACCTTGCTTCTGAGGCACATGTGGTGAAGCCCCATGTCAGCCTGCCTTTGGTTTGTTCAGGGCCTGATGTTTGAATCTATACCAGCTTCATCTTCCAGCCTACCCTATGTCCTCTTCAGGTGTGTCCCACTGTGTGCTGCCTTTCAACTTGGACCTATGACTCTTCATCATTTCTGTACCTGGTAGCCACTTCTCCATGTAGCTGCTAAGTAGCTAGACGAGTCAAGGCAGGAGGCAGAGCTGTGCCCCACTATTTATGATTAGCACTTAACAGACAGAATTTGTTCTCCCTGTAGTGTCTATTCCTCTAATCTGAAATTCATGGGTAGCTCCAACGCCATGCGTTGGATGCTGCTGGATGGGCCACACAAGATTCAAGAGTGGTATATTGGAAAAAGAGAAGTTTAGGAAAGAGCTTCCCAGAAAATGGCATACTACAGTTGATGACTAAGGGTTTAAGAACAAATGGAGAGAAATAAATATTCCAAACAGAAAACTGTGTTTGCTCTTTGCTGTATCCCCTGAAGCTTTGGATTTTTGCCTAACAACAGGTTAGACACTTAAAAAATATTTGTCATGTGCGTGAAAGAATGTATGAATATGGATGGAAAGTGCAGAGTGCTGGGAACCTTGGAATTACCAGGTATGGATAGTAGGTGGGGACACAAGTTCAGGAGCAATGCCATCAGAAAAAGAATTTATTTACTCATTCAGCCATTCAATGCCCATTAAGTATAATGCCAGGCACCTGGAGCTGCTTTTGGTCAAGTGACTACAAGCCAGTGTTCTAGGCTGGTGATGAGAAACTCGCTCATGTGGGGGCCCTGAGACTAAACAAGTTGTCAGGAAGGAATAGGCTGTGGCTTATCAGGCTACATTATGGATTTAGGTCTTTCTCTCAATTATGAGGTCCTCTGGAAGTTTTGCCAGTGGAGGACAGGGGTATGGCAACCTCCTCAGAACTGTACTTTGAGGGGCTGGCGAGATGGCTCAGTGGTCTAAAGCACCTACTTAGAACAAGCTTAGCAAAGCAAAGGGACCACGGTTCAATCCCCCAGCACCACATGCCAGCCAGGGCCGCCCCCGGTGGGCTGAGCTGGCCACACACACACACACACACACACACAAATAATTAAAAAAAAAAAAAGAACTGTACTTTGAAAAATCCTTCCTACTGCAAGGGCACAGAGTGACTGTGAGTGGCAAGACCAGCAGAGGCTGCTGCAGGCTCTAGGAGGTTGGGAAGCTCTGTGGCATTGTTCTTCATAGTGGTGGCCCGGGTGGGGGAAAAGTAATAATGTAGGAGGGATTTAGGAGGTCAATCCTGTGGGGCAGGGAGTAACAAGTGGGACCATCCTGGGAAGAACTCTTGACTCAAGGTCCTGACAGTTGCGCTTGAACCAACTACTGCCTTGGCTTGGCTTCCCCAGCATGTTCCCCCAGCACATGTTTGGTGAGAAGGCAGTAACCATAGACTTTCTATTATCAATTAAGTAACTACTGCCACCCAGATGTGGTAGTGCATGTCTGCAATCCCAACACCTGGGAGGCTGAGGGAAAGGGATCACTGTGGAAGATCACCTGTGTGACTCTCCTTGAAAGAAGAGCAGTTGTCCCCATTTTGGCTGTGCCTGACCCTATATCCATGTGTTAATAGGTACAGAGCTGGCTACGGCTTTTCCTTATCCTTTCAATTGGCTTTAAGCAGTGCATATTGGTCTAGCAGAGGTGCTGGTGGTAGTCTTTGAAGATGGCATCACACATGTTTCCCTGATAACCCACACCTACTGCTCCTTAATATGAACCAGGTCAAGACAGGATGAAGAGCCAGTGCTCCACACTGTCGGCTGGGATCGAGCCTCGAGATAGAGGCTGACTTCCTGAGACTTTAAAGATTACACATCAGAGCTGAAGCACAAGGCCCCAAAACATTAGATACTATCTCAATAGTATAATGCAAATCACTTTCTGTATATCCTTCTCTGCAATATCGCAGAGGTAAATACAGACCTCTTAGCTAGCCCAGCTCACAGTACTCACCTACTTCCGGCAACTCTCAGTCATTCATCCTCAAGCCACTCCTCCTTCATGACTCAATAAAACCCGGGTTCGGCCCTGGGTCGAGGCCTTTGTTCCAGATAGCCATCACTACTGCTGGACTTAGGACCCCTTAGCTCCCCATAATTATAAATATGCTTTAATATCTTTATTTTTGCTGTGGGTTGCACTGGGAATAGCAGATTGGAATTAACTTGATGGGATTCCAATAACATATCTTTGGGATTACAAATATAAACTTCTTGGATCAAGACAAGGACCAAAAAGGGACCACTACAGGTTGCCATGAGTTCAAGGCCAACCTGGACCACACAGTGAGTTAAACACCAGTCTAAACTACATGGCAGGGCCAGGGAGATAAGCTCAGTGGCATAAGCACCTGACTGCCAAATGCAGGATTGCAAGCTCAATTCCTGTTACCAAAGGGGGGCGGGGGACTACACGGCAAGACCCTGTTTCAAAAAAAAAAAAAAAAAAAAAAGCAACCATTGGGCTGGGGAGATAGTTCAGCAGTCTTAAGTGCCTGCCTGGCAAGGGCAAGGACCTGGGTTCAATCCCCGATGAACTGAAACAGGGGCCACTGAAACAGGGCATGGTGGTGCACACCTGTAATCCCAGCACCGGGGAGGCTGAGATAGGAAGATCACTTGAGTCTGAGCTTCATACTGAGACCCTGTACCAAATTTTTTTTTTTTTTTTCTTTGTGGTACTAGGAATCAAACTTAGGACCTTGAACTTGCCAGGCAAGCACTTATTCCACTGAGCTATCTCCCCGGCTAATACATATATTTTTAAAATTTTCTAAAAAAATTGTTGGGGCTGGGGATATAGCTCAGTGGCATAAGCACCTGCCTGGCAAGTGCAAGCTCCTGAGTTCGATCCCTGGTACTGCGAAAAAAAAAAAAAGTCATGATTCATGGATGTCTAAAGAAAGATTATTGCTGCTACTACTCCATTTTGCTCTCTGCTCTTTGCCACCGATCCCCAGTAACTGTGAGCTAAATAAACCTTTCCTTCCTTCAAATTTTTTTCTAAAAAAAAAAAAAAAAAAAAGAAAAAGAAAACCAGCCATTGCCAATGGTGCTATACCTCGTGATTCACTTGGCTGGCCCCTGGGGAGCGGGGGAGGCCCCTCTGTCCTTGTCCAGTGCCGGGTCAGTGCAGGGGATTCCACAACTGAGCATCCTGAGCCTCCCGTTTTGACCCGCCCATTTTCAAAATATGGATCACACACGAGGACATCCATCTGTAGGCTCTGAAAACTTCCTCACTCAAACTAAACTATAAAGCTCAGGGAGGGATGACAAGGAAAAGAATAAAAAGGAGACGCTTGAGGGTTTTAGAATATAAGTGGACCGCCATGGTGAAAGAGGCCACCTATAAATGGTTCATCCAGGTGGCACTGTCCCCGATTATACAGGCCACAGCAGAGACGAAATGCCAGCTGAAGCTGGCCAAACTGTAAACCTGACAGATAAGTGATTGAGACACAATTTAACAGCCTCATGGGACCCTCAGTTGACAGATGAACAAAGTGAGGGCCACATTCGAGATCACCAATCCCTTCTGCTTAATGTGACTTAATTTCACCATCCAGGTCACCTTAAGAGGTAGGTACCTCTTAGTGTTAATCCCATTTAACAAATCAGAAACTGAGAATGCTACTAGACAAGTGAGTTGAGGCTCAATGAATCAAAATAAAAAATGCAGGTGGGAAGAACTGATATTCTAATTGGCAGAAACTGCCTGAGCAAAGGCGAGAAGGGAAATGTTTGTACCTAGACCTAGGCGGAAAGAGAACGGAGAAGGTTAGGGTAGAAAAGGGTCCAAATAAAGGCCTTGAGCGCCCACCAAAGAGGCTGAACTTTATCGGGGGAGCTGTGGAAGTTCGAACAGAAACCCGATTGTCGAAGCCGCCTCTCTCTAGGCCACGCCATCCGCTTCATTCACAACTTTTGAGTGATCTTAGCAAATACCCATAGCTTAGCTGCATCCGTATGCCTCTTGTCCCATTGTCATTTCGGGAAAAGTTGTCCCATACCCACATCCAGTGCGCCGGAGGTTAGCCGCGGGTCAGCGGCGCGGCCCCGCGGCTGCGCACGCGCCTGCCGCCTCCGGTACGTGACTAGTGGAACGTGTGCTCCGGGCGGGGGCGGTGCGGCGGCGGCGGCGGCGGCGGCAGGATGTGCCTCCAGCTTCTGTATCTGTGGCCCTCTGGATTCGGAGTTAGACCCGATGCTTTCAATTCTACAGTTTGAGAAGTTTCTGCGAGTGTCACAAGTTTCTTTAGGCGTCCTGAGTGATTTCCTGTAGTGTGGCCTTCATTCAGGCACTCACTTAGCCACCCATTCGCTCTTTGAGGTCCTCGCGGCCCTCCCCGTAACTAATTAAGTGATGGACGCAGTAGCTAAGGAGACTGTCTGATTGACAGGTATACTTACCAATCAACTTGTGAAAACTCTAGTCTGGGCTGGCTCCGGCGCGTGGCCGATGGCCCAATTAAAAAAGTGAACGCGCCAAAAGGGGCGGTAACAGGGAGACCTAGGTTGTGGCGGTTCCTCGGTGATTGCGCGCTTGGGGCTGAAACAATTAAGGGCATTCAGACGATGCTATGACGCGGCATAGCAACAGTGTTGACAACGTGAGCGCACCCCAGCGAAGGGAGCCCTTCAGCCCTGGAGGCGGCGCGACGTGGAGGCAGGTCGCTGTTTGAGAGTTTTCCCTCGAAGCTCTTCAGCGAGTGGGGGAGGGGCGGCAGGCGAGCTGTAGTGCCCTTGTACGCTTGCGCTGGCCCCTTTACCGTCCTGGCCCGCACGCACGCGCATGCCCACAGCGTACTGAGCCGCGGTGGCCGGTAACACTGCGCTTGCGCGTCGAAGAGCCCGCTAAGGAGCGGCGCTGGCGGACGTCGGGCGGGCGGCTTGTGACGTAGTGAGGATAGCTTTAAAGTGCGGGCTGGGCCAGGTGTCGGAGGAGGGTCGGACCGGGAATCAGGCCGAATTTCCTTTAGCAGCCCTCCGCGGCATGAGGCGCTGCTGGCGCCCCTGCTCCTCGAGACGTGGAGAAAGTAGAGGAGGAAGTCCTGCTGTCTCCACCGCTCCATGACCCGTCACCCCTGAGGCCCGACCCTGCGCCTGGTCCTTCGCTTACCCGTACCAGGTCCCCTGGCTTCGGATGGGGGTCCGGCTCTGAGGACCCCCTCCTCTCCGGGGGCCCTGGGGCAAGTCCCCCCGAAAGCCATGTCCGGGCGCTCCGCCCGCCCTGGAGGACCCTAGAGTAGTCTCGCGGGGGCATGGCGGCCGCCAGCGGCTATACGGACCTGCGTGAGAAGCTGAAGTCCATGACGTCCCGGGACAACTATAAGGCAGGTAACCGGGAGGCCGCGGCTGCGGCAGCCGCTGCTGTGGCCGCCGCGGCCGCCGCCGCCGCAGCCGCCGAACCTTACCCGGTGTCCGGGACCAAGCGCAAGTATCAGGAGGACTCGGACCCGGAGCGCAGCGATTACGAGGAGCAGCAGCTGCAAAAAGAGGAGGAGGCTCGCAAGGTGAAGAGCGGCATCCGCCAGATACGCCTCTTCAGCCAGGACGAGTGCGCCAAGATCGAGGCCCGCATTGACGAGGTGGTGTCCCGCGCTGAGAAGGGCCTGTACAATGAGCATACAGTGGACCGGGCCCCGCTGCGCAACAAGTACTTCTTCGGTGAGGGCTACACGTATGGCGCCCAGCTGCAGAAGCGCGGGCCTGGCCAGGAGCGCCTGTACCCTCCGGGAGACGTGGACGAGATCCCTGAGTGGGTGCACCAGTTGGTGATCCAGAAGCTAGTGGAACACCGCGTCATTCCCGAAGGCTTCGTCAATAGCGCCGTCATCAACGACTACCAGCCAGGAGGCTGCATCGTGTCTCACGTGGACCCCATCCACATATTTGAGCGCCCCATCGTGTCTGTGTCTTTCTTTAGCGATTCTGCGCTGTGCTTCGGCTGCAAATTCCAGTTCAAGCCTATCCGTGTGTCAGAACCTGTGCTTTCCCTGCCTGTGCGCAGAGGGAGCGTGACTGTGCTCAGGTAACCCACCTGGGAGGAGGGGGCGGCCCTACACTCTTACTGCCTTAACTGTGCACTCAGGTCCTGGAGGCAGCAGCCAATAGGAATCTACTTTTTTTGGTTCCGACCCATCCTTCTGTTTCTCGGTTGTAGGGGGAAGGGAAAGTGCCTTTTGAAAAATATATATAGTGGCCAGGCACGTTGGTGCATGCCTGTAATCTCAGCACTCAGGAGGATGAGGCAGGGGGTATTGCTTCGAATTTGAGGCCAGCCTGACCTACAAAGTGTGTCCAAGGCCAGCTTGAACCGCAGAGTGAGACCCTGTCTCAAAACAGAGCAAAAAGGCCAAGGATATAGTTCAGCCACACAGCACCTGCTGGGCAAGTTCAAGGTCCTGAGTTCAATTCCTGGTTCCAAAAAAGCCCAACTGCGGCTGCTTCTGTTAGGGATGGTACTAGAGCCTTGGGATGTCCAAGGCTGTGTGATGGCAAAGTCTGGGAAGTCACTGACGGAAAAGAGTACCTGTCAGATGCCTGTTTGTCATTTGGAGCCCTCAGCGTCCTGATGTTTCATATGGATGTTTTGGCAGAACCTTTTAATCTAGGGTTTCCTGGGAAGATCCTCCCAAGGAGCTTGCTATGTAAGGCAGCCTTGTGTTCTGATTTTCTGTTGTTAGGAGCCTTATACTAGAAATATCTGGTATCTTAATAGGTTACTAATTTTGTATGTAGTTGTAGACCCTTTGGTTTGTTTTCAGGAGGTCTGGCAGTGATCTGATGCTTGATGAAGGATCTCAAGGCCTTTTTTGACTTTTGTTTGTTTATTCATTCAGTTTGTGACTCTTAAAATGCTCCCAACCCATTCACAGCTCTGAATTGAAGAGCAGAAGTTTCAAATTCTTAATATGCAGTTCAGTTAGTGATCAGCAAAAGGATTGCATCATCAGGAAAATTCTCTTCATCTTTTCCTGAGAATAGTAAAGTCTTAAAGCTTCCCTTCCACCTCTTCTTGGATTCAGACTTGGCCACAAAGTTAGTGTAGGAGGCCTAGCCCTGTCTTGAAAAAGTGCTGCCCCAGGCTTTGAATCGAGCTCTCTTGCTGTTTACTTTTGGATCTTGTGGGTGTTTTCAGAGCCTGCTTTCTTATCCTCAGAGTGGTGATAATGCCAACTTGTGAAGCCTATTGGAATTAAAGTGATTTGATGTCTTAATATAGAGCCTGTCACAGGATAGTTTTAAGTGGGAGCTTCCCTTTCTATATAGCCGCTTAGTAAGTCTCTGCTATCTTAATGGAGAAGAGTCTAGAGATTTGGTGGATCCTAAAGCATGAGGTTTATAGTTTAAACCTGGTAGAGAGGTCAAGTCACAGCCCAGGAAGGTAACTACAGGAACATTCTGAAGGGACATTTTATCCATTGTGGAGTATTGGAAATTTTGGGAAGTCAGTAAGCTGGAGCTTGAAAGGTGACTAGGAATTAGCCAAGCAAAGGCGGGTGAGGGGAGAACAACAAAGGTTTTTGGCAACAAGTAGGGTAGGGGATAGCTGTAGATAAAGGGAAGGCGCTAGTGCTACTTTGAGCCAGGTGGAGTTCATTATTAGACTCTGGTGAAGCTCTGGATTGGTGGTTTTTGACAGTGTTGCTGTTGATAATAGGACTCATTGATTCTTTGTTGTGTTAGTCTTTATGTATTTAGAAAATTTAGCAGTGTCCCAGGCCTCTGTTAGATTGTAGTAGCACTTTTTATAACCAAAAATGTCTCTGGACTTTGCCAAATGTCCCTGGGAATGAGATTTGGAAGGGCAGTTGTTCCCAGTTGAGAGGCACTGGTGTAGGGTCTTGGACACTCGCATCAATTTACTTCCAGCACCTGCTAATTTAGCACTCTCAGTTTATTTGGTATGGTAAGCTAGTAAAAGAGGTGGTGCTTTCTCTCATTTTCTGGTAGAGATCACAGCTCAGAGGTGTTTAGTAAAGCTGCAGATTAGAAGGGAGGGGCTGATAAAAGACTGGTGCTCTGCCCACTTGGAGGGATTCTAGCAATTGTCCTCTGACTGAGACTTCAATTGTTAGTAGTAATAGTGTCTGTAATTGTCCAAGGCAATGTGGCAGGAATATATTTTAGAAGTGGTCAGCGTGGATGTTGCTGTATGGCAAGCATTGACACAGCATTGCCTAAATCTTGCTGTATAACAAGGTTACAGACCTTTCTGAAAGTATTTTACATTTCTTTTCAAACCCAGCTGTCAGTTTTTTGTATTCTTCCTCTTTTTGAGCCTGAGTGGGCCTCCTTTTTGTTTTCTAAAAATCTTTTACCTTCTTTTCATATCAGTTCATCCTTCTCCTGTGCCTACATGTAGAGTGAATGGAACAGATTGAAACAAACTTCAAGTAGGATGTGGTAGCACATGCCTGTAATCCCAGCACTGAAGAGGCTGAGGCAGGAGAATAAGCACAAGGTTCTACCCTGTATCAAAAAACAAAACCAAACAAAAAACTTCAGTTGGAATAATTAGAGTAATTGCTTCAAGACTAATTGTTTACTTGCTTCTACTTCTTAAATCACTGCTGTGTGATCTGTGGTAACAAATCTACTCAGAGACCTAGGGCTCAGTCATCCATCAGGAAATGACTGTTGGAATCAACCATGGGGTGCATTCTGGAGAGCTCAGCCTTTGACTCTCCCAGCAAACAGTTGGTATTAGATGGAGTGGACCTGTTAGTTTGGGGTTAAGAGTTGATCATCTTCAGCTGGTTGGAAGCAAAATTTAGCTTTCTTGTTTAAAATAGTTGGGGAAGTAGGGCAGATAAGTCCTGGGCCACATCTCCTGTGTAGAATCTTGTTCCCATGCGGAGAGGAGGAACCATGGGATGAAGTAAGGGTTGTGTAGTCTCAGATGGGACTCCGCCATTAGGGTGGCTGCTTCTGGTGCTGCCCGGTCTCATGAGAAGGTAGAGGGCAGCAGAGGAGAGAAAGCCACGATCTTAAGAATAGTAAGCAAGTGAAGAATAAATAGACCATACAAATTTAGGGTTGGCTGGCTGGCCGTTTTAGGCTGGGAAATTGGTATACAGTTATCACTGTGATGCAGTATATGTTCTTAGAGCATAAGCTTATTTCTGCAGGCCTCTTTTGTAGGCCTGGTGGTTATGTGTGTGTTTGGTGAGACTAGCAAGTGTTCTAGGACAGATTAGACCTTGCTACCAAGAAACATAGATGGATTTTTTTTCCTTCCTCGTTTCATTACACAATCTTTTATACCCCGTCACACCTCTACCCCACTTAACACATAATACTATCACTAACACAAACCTGAGTTTAATGGCCACTTTAGTGACAGTTCCAGCACTACCACTTCAGCTCTTTACCTCTGGGCAAGTTACTTTATGGGACTCAGTTTTCTTCTTCTGCAAAATGGGGTTATTAATGCCATAGTTATTACAAAAGGTTGACTCTGTCATACTGTTGAATGCTTGAAGTTTAAACATGTCTCAGGAGTGAGCTTCTTTTTCTATTGAGCTCTTGTTTGTACCATGATATGTGCTGAATAGGGATGTAGCAGATTGACCTGGATTCAGAAAGCCCCGGCACTTATGAAGTTAAGCTGTGTATGTCTTTTGGGAGGCTTGAGCCTACTAAATAACTTGAGCCTGGGCTCATAGACGTGGCCCAGTGTCTAGGTGGTCTGATTGCTGCCTCCCAAATGCCTGAGCTTCTCAGTCCTATAGCTTTATCAGTGGTGAGGGAGGCTCTCATCTGGTAGTGGTTTTGGCCAGGCCCTCTATCTGTGCTCTGTTTTGGACTAAGCAGGACATAGAATACATGAGGAATGGTGGCCATCTTGGAAATGTACCTTGACATCATAGTCCCCAAGACCATCCCCAAATGTATAACCCTACACAGGTCCTTATACATTGTTTTTTAGACTGATCCTCTGAAGAAGGGCGTGTTACCTTTTTGCCGATGTAGAAACTGCAGCTACAAAGTAGAGTATAAGCTTTAATATACATTTATCTTTTGTTCACTGCAGAGTTAAGACCTTTGTAGTGCTTTGCCTTATAGGGAATACAGAATTTCCACAGACCAGGTAAAATAGAGATTCCCTGGGAGGGTATCATTGAACATTGTAGGAGAAATCCAGTCTGGGGAATTCTGAGAAAGGTTCCCCGAAAAGATCAATGTGTCAACTCCCTTAAGAGCCACTGAGGTAGTAGGTGACAAAACTAGGCTCAGTTACTCCTAATACTAATGGTTGCTGCTGGTGATACAGCTCAGGCAGGGAGCAGGCAGTGTGGACTGCACAAAGTATTTCCTCTCATTTCCCTGTGAAAACAAAAGAGCAGGACATGCTGGAACTTTTTTTCATGCCAGGGGTAGGGCTGGACCCAGGATATATAAAGTTACAAGCTGGCCGACTAGGACTTACAGTTTCTTGTAGAAGGTGAGTTCCTTAGAATAAATAACAATTTTGTGGATTTCTGCTGAACACTTTCTCGTGAAGTTTGGCCAATGATCAGAATTTTCTTTTTCTATAAACGATCAGAATTTTGAGTATGCCTAGGGGTGCCTAATACTCTAAAGATGGTCATTGGGCTCAGACAGCTGCTAGGAGGTTCTAGAAGATAATGAGTCCTTCAGGTAGAATTAGTGCCACAGTCATTTCTTTTGGGTCTCTGCACTCCTATCTCTATTTCCCAACCCCGCTGTATCTCCATTGTACTGGAGATTGAACCCAGAGCCTACACATGCTGAGTAAGCACTCTGCCTCTGAGCTATGTATCACCAGCCCTTTTTTTTTTTTGGCGGCCTGAAGATGCCGTGAGGGCATTTCTGGTTTCCTGTGAGAAACTGGGTTTGAACCAGAGCACCTTGAGCCTAACTGCTTTGTTTAAGCAGGCACTTAAACAACTGAGCTAATGGGCAGGCCCCCTCACCAGCCCTTTTTAAATTTTGTGAGCCTAGAACTTTTGGTCTTCCTACTTCAACTTTCCAAGTAACTGGAATTATAGGTAGCAGCTTGGCTTTTTATTTCTTACAGTTTTTTGCATCTAGTTCTTGCCCATAATTGAGCCAGCCTGACCACTTTAAGCAGTTTTTCCCAGCCAGACCTATATGGTTTGTGATGCTTAAGCATTGGGCTGATGGCAGGTACCTGGCATGGCTTATTGTTTGTTCTAGAGCCCTTTAGGGGATGGGGGCAGTCATGCTTTGATGAGCATCTATATTTGCTCCAGAACTACATTAAGAGAAGTGGTTCCTTGTTAGAAACAAAAAGTCATGGCCCTCAGTCATAATGCCAACTAAAGCAGATTGATAACTCTTTTCTTTTCTTTTTTTTTTTTTTTAATTTTATTTATTTGTGTGTGTGTGTGTGTGTGTGTGTGTGGCCAGCTCAGTCCACTAGGGGGCGCGGCTGGCTGGCATGTGGTGCTGGGGGATCGAACCGTGGTCCCTGTGCTCTGCCAAGCTTGTTCTAAGTAGGTGCTTTAGACCACTGAGCCATCTCACCAGCCCCAGATTGATAACTCTTACTAAAAGCAGGAAACATGGCCTGTAGCTAACACCGCAGATTCAGACCTTAGAAATGTGCCTTTGGACTTAGTTTCTTTTGTAAAATCCTCTATGTATACAGTTTACAGAACTATCTTATGACCTCGGTCTTCATTAAGCAATGTGGAGTGTAAGAATGTAGAATGAGACTTGAGGTTTTAGCCCTGGGAATGGGGTCCCAGAGACCTCTGCTGCTGACAGGTCCCTGCAGAGGTTGTAGGTCATGTCTCCTTGATAGGTGCTAAATCCAAGGCACTGGCTTGCCCTGGGATGGTCAAAGCCCCTTTGTCTGTGCTAAATTCTTCGTAGTTGTAGTGTGGTGCCAGGACTGAAGCAGCCTTGCAAGTAACACTATACTTTTCCACAAGTGTTTATCAATGTAAGTCGTGTAACTGATTTTTGTGATTCTGCCTGGAAGGGAGGACCTGCTGATGTCTAAGTTTTAGAATCTTAGTAATAATAAAGTGAATACAGGAGCCCAGGATATAGCTCAGTGACACAGCATCTGCCTGGCAATTGCAAGGTCCTGAGTTTGATCTCCAGTACCAAAGAGGAAAAAAAAAAAAAAAAAAATACAGCCAGATGTGGTGATACACACTTGTAATCTCACCGCTTGGGAGGCTGAGGCAGGAGGATCATTGTGAGGTTGGTGACAACCTGAAATGCATAGTGAGACCCTGTCTCAATAAATATAAATAAATAAAATGAATACAAAGTTTTAGAATATAATAATGAAATAAGCATCCAAGAACCTACTGTTCTGCTTGCTACAGATAAAGAAGCTGAGGTTTAACCTTAGCATGTGATATATCTAAGGTCACAAAACTAATAGGTAGCTGGGCATGGTGGTGCATGCCTGTAATCCAGCACTCAGGAGGCTAAGGCAGGAGAATCATTGCAAGTTTGAGACCATCCTGGGTTACAGAGGAGAGCTCAAGGCCAGTTTGAACTGCAGGAGACTGTCTCAGAAAGGGGGGGAGGGGAATCTAATAGATGACAAAGGTTTGGTAGGTGACAATGAGTTTGTTATAAATACAAGTCCCAGGGCCAGGGAGATGGCTCAGTAGAATAAGTGCTTGCCTGGCAAGTACAAGGGCCTGAGTTCAATCCTTGGCTCAGCAAAAAAAAAATAAACACAAGTCTCATCTCCCTAATTACTGTATAGTACTTCTCGCTGAGTTAACACAAATATTAATAGGTATTAAGAGTTCTTTAGTTCTTTGATTAGTGCCCAGTTAAGTGAACTGAGTGAAATGCACCATTTAACTCAGTTAAATGCACCACCATGCCCAGCTACCTATTAGTTTTGTGAGCTTAGATATATTACTTGCTAAGGCTCAGTTAAGTGAACTTAGCAGTTATTTGCAGACTCTAACGTTCTAAGATCCACAACAATGCTTTTTTTGAAATCCTAATCAGTATTTCTAAATTGATTTGACTATGGATGTGGGGTTGGTGTTCAAAGAACAGTCTTTGAAGAACCCTGACCTAGGGGTAGGAGAAAACTGTAAGATGAAAATGTACTGTTGTATCACTAGCATACCCTCAAGTTACATTTCCAAGTCAGAAGTGTTTCCTTCTAGGGGGTGATCCTAATTGTTTGTTTTTTTTGTTTTGCTTATTTGTTTGTTTTGTTTGTATTTTTAGGGAATGGTCCACAGGGTGTTCAGGGTCTCACTGCTAGATCGGACTCATAGTGATCTGCCTGTTTACAGCCTCTGAATCTCAGCCGCTGTGATTACAGACACATGCCACCACGCCCAGTCTCAATTGCTGGCTCAGTGTGCCCCGGGGGCAGGGCCGGCTTGGCAGGCTCTGGGATCAAACCCCAGCCCCCGGCCCCCTGCATGTGCTTGCAGGTGCATTAATACGCTGAGCTATTTGACTGGCCTTTAGGATTAGGGTTTTGGAGACAGGGTCTTGCTGTGTACTCCAACCATGCTTGAAGTTGGTCTATAGCCCAGGCAGGCCTGGAACTCTTAATCCTCCTGCCTCAGCCTCCTAAATTCTGGGATTAGGGGGTGTGTATTAACCATGTCTGATTTTATTTATTTTTCTCCCTTGCTATCCACCCGCTGTTGCCTACCACCCTAACTCCCTTACCCCACTCCTGCCATATCTCCATTGTACTAGAGATTGAACCCAGAACCTTATACATGCTGAGTAAGCACTCTGCCTCAGCTATATATCTCCAGCCTTTTTTTTTTTTTTGTGGTACTGGGGATTGAACTAAGGACCTTGCGCTTGCCAGTCAAGCGCTTATTCTACTGAGCTATCTCCCCAGCCCCTATCTTCAGCCCTTTTTAAATGTTGTGAGCCTAGAACTTTTGGTTTTCTTGCTTCAACTTTCCAAGTAACTGGAATTATAGGTGGAAGTTTGGCTTTTTATTTCTTTTTTTTTTATTTCTTTTTTTTTTTTTTAATTTATTTGAGAGAGAGAGAGAGAGAGAGAGAGAGTGGTGTGTGTGTGTGTGTGGCCAGCTCAGCCCACCAGGGGGTGGGGCTGGCTGGCATGTGGTGCTGGGGGATTGAACCGTGGTCCCTGATGCTTTGCCAAGCTTGTTCTAAGTAGGTGCTTTAGACCACTGAGCCATCTCTCCAGCCCGGCTTTTTATTTCTTATAGGTTCTTGCATCTAGTTCTTGCCCATAATTGAGCCAGCCTGACCACTTTAAGCAGTTTTTCCCAGTCAGACCTGTAGGGTTTGTGACACTTAAGTGTGTGTCTATAGAGCTACTATTGAGGAGGAGCTGATCAGTGGTCAGGAGAAAAAGGTTTGTGGTCTAAGGGCAGCCAGCAATCCTGAGCAAGTAGGGAAGCTGAGAAAGTAAGGTCTTAGAGTAAGGCCTATAGTTGGGTGAGTTTCTAGCTGACTCTGAAGGATGTCTTTTGGGTGCCATGCTCCCAGGGAGAGTGTATGAGGGGCTCAGGAGCTGGTTCCAGAGTTTCAAATCAGAAAAGTGCTACCTAAGAAGAGGATAGTCATTTACCCATGTTCATTGGCCTGCGAACAGTTTTTTGTTTGTTTTGGGTTTTTTGTTTATTTATTTAAATTTTTTCCCATAATTTTATTGAGAAAAATAGCAATGAGACAGTTTCAAATCAAATTGATAGTACAGTTCCAATAATTAACACATTGCATACTCTCTTCCTAGTGGTTATTTGTGAACAGTTTTTAAAATCATGTTACTTGTTGAAAATAGAAATTCGAGTATGGTGAAAATTCTTAAAATATTCCAAACACAGCTGTCTTCAAAATTCTGGACCTCCCTAGTGGAAACTTCTTTCCAAGTAGATAAATTCTCTTGGAACATGGCAGTCCTAGTTCTTCCTGATGACTCAGTACTGTCATTGGCTACCTTGGCTTCCTCTGCATGATAAGGGTGGGGAGAAATGTAGGCAGTGTTTGTGTCTCCTCACTGAGGTTCTTCCACGTCCCTCCAGTTGCCTCTAGATCTTCTAACAGTGTATCCTCTTGAAGGTTCACTATTAATTGCTGTGTCAAGGACCTAACCTGAGACCTTAAACGGTATGTAGCAGGCAAATGTTCTGCTGGACTCTAACCATAGCCCTAAGAATTGTAAAAGACAGTTTCCTCACCTGTGCAGAGCGAGTCCTACTTTGGCCTCGGCCTTAAGAGAGCACTGAGACTCCTTTTTATCATGTTAGTTTTGAACAATTTGTAGGCAGAATCTTCTTAGAGCTTAACGTGGTATTTCCCTTTCATGTAGGTTCTTGCATTTATTTATTTGTTTGTTTGTTTTTGCAGAACCAGGGATTGAACTCAGGCCCTTGTGCTTGCCAGGCAAGCACTGGTTCTTTTTTTTTTTTCCAAGCACTGGTTCTTGCACATTGTGAATAACACTATCCCCTAGGAACTTTGGTTGTCTGCTCTTCATGGTGATACGTGCTGTGTTTCTTTCCAGTGGATATGCTGCTGATGAAATCACTCACTGCATACGGCCTCAGGACATCAAAGAGCGCAGAGCAGTCATCATCCTCAGGAAGTAAGTAAACTGATGTCTAGTACCTTATTCCTTGGTCACAGGCCTGCCTGAAGATGTACATCGGGGTCCCTTAAAATTCACTCCTCTGGCCAGGTGTAGACCATCCGTATAATCTCAGCACTCAGATGCTAAGGCAGGAGGATTGCCAGGAGCTCAAGGTCACCCAGGGCTACATAGCAAGACCCTGTCTCAAAAAAATAAAACTAAACTTGTTCTTTTTTACTAGTATGGTATGGTGGGATAAAATCTGAAAGAGCAGAAGGCTGTCTGCTCTCTTTTATTTGCGTTCTGTGAGGATAAAGCTTTTATTCATCAGGAAAAATATATATTATAGGCTTTTTTAAAAAAATATTTATTTATTGTGTGTGTGTGTGTGTGTGTGGCCAGCTCAGCCCACCAGGGGGCAGGGCTGGCTGGCATGTGGTGCTGGGGGATTGAACCGCGGTCCCTGTGCTTTACTAAGCTTGTTCTAAGTAGGTGCTTTAGACCACTGAGCCATCTCACCAGCCCCTGTATATAGGCTTTTTAACTATGAAATTTAAGGCTAAACAAAAGCATAGACTTCTGATATTTATGGACCACAATCTGAGACAAGATTTGGGAGCCACTTTTCCAAGCCCTACCCAACCTCTTTTCTTCTCTTTCTGATTTGTCTTATGTGCTTTCAGTGATTATTTTTAGACTGTGCCTTAACAGCCTGCTTTAAAATGGCAGGGTTTTCCCTTCTGGAGAAGAGCAGGGAATAAGGAGAGGAAATCAGGGTGGGAGGTTAGGATGTATGATGGCTATGACTGTCTTCCCTCTCTGTTGGAGATTCAGAGATACACTAACTCAGGTCATTAAGCATGATTTCTCCCACATATTTTTGTTGAGCAGACTGAAATTTGTTAGCTCCGACCACATAGACGTTGGGTCAAAGGAATAGTAGCCTTCCTATTGAATGGAGTCCCAGAGAAAATCAGTGATTGCTCAGGATCTCATAGAAGTCACTGAGGCTGGGAATATAACTCAGTGGCACAGCACCTGCCTGGAAAGCACAAGGTCCTGAGTTCAATTCTTGGTATCAAAAAAAAAAAAAAATCATTGTGAAAGCAACAGCAGTATGGAGGGGCTGATATATACACCAGTATATAGCTCAAGAGTAGAGTGCTTGCCTAGCATGTGTGAGCCCTCAGTTCTAGGCCCATGAAGGTAGGGGGCGATATGTAGATCATTATTTGATCTAAATATTAAAACTTGTCTTTGTTTCTTTTTAAAATTTTTTTTTAAATTTTATGTATTTAATATAGGGTCTTACAACACAGATTGGACTCATAGTGATCCTCCTGTTTTCAGCCTCTGAAGCGCTGGGATTACAGGTGCATGCCACCATGCCCAGTCACAGTCACTGTCTCAGCACGCCTGTTGGGCAGAGCCAGCACAGCAGGCCTGGCGGATCGAATCCCCAGCCCCTGTGTCTGCGAAAGCAGGTGCTTTAATCTGGTGAGCTATCTGGCTGGCCTTTTTAAAATTTTAAGGTAGGGTCTTAACTAAATTATCCAAGGTTGGCCTTGAACTTTTGATGCTCCTGCCTCAGCTCCCAAGTGGCTAGGATTATAGGCATGTGCCACCATGCTTGGCTGTTTGGTTTTTTTTTCCTTTAAAATTTTTAAGATTTAAGTAAACGTGGGGGCCGGGGAGATGGCTCAGTGGAATAAGCCCTTCCCTGACAAGCACAAGGGCCTGAGTTCAATCCCAGGTTCCAGAAAAAAAAAAAGATTTAAGTAAATGCTGGGTATAGTGGTGCATGCTGGTAATCCTAGCAATCAGGAGGCTGAGGCAGGAGAATTGCAATGAGTTCAAGGCCAGCCTGAAATACACAATAAGATCCTGTTTCAAAAAAAAAAAAAAGTAAACTTTGTTTCCAGAACAATTTTATATTTGTAGAAAATTGTGATGATACCATAGAGTTCCCATGTACCTTATATCCTTTTTCCTTTACTGTTAAAATCCTACATTGGTGTGATATTTTTCAAACTTCTGAGAGCCTAGGATGTAGTTTGGTGGTAGAGCACTTGAATAGCATGTGTGAGTCCATGGGGTCTGTCCCCAGTGCTGTGAAAAAAGAAAATGCTGATAATGACATATTAGTAACAAATTTTTACTTTTAGGTTTCCTTAGGTTTTTTTCCTAACTTCCTTTTATTGTTTGAAGATATGTATCATATAGCACTTTCAGCTCCTTTTGGCTGTGACAGTTTCTCAGACTTGCCTCTACCCACTTCCCCTATTATACTGGGGATTGAACCCAGGACTTTCACACTGAGTTACAGTTACAGAATGAGCTGATAGTGCTGGCAGAAGGTTGAGGTAGGAGGATTTCTTGAGTTCAAGAGTTTGAGGTTAGCCTGGGCACCATACCAAGATCCTATTTCTTTAAAAATACACCTAGGTACCATTCCCCCCCCCCCCCCTTTTTTTTTTTAAACTTCAGAGTAAGATCTCTCTGAGTTGTAAAGTTGCCTAGGCAGAACTCAAACTTGTGATCCTCCTGCCTCACCCTCCCAGACTGCTGAATAGTAGGCATTTGCTACCATAGCCTGAGAAACTTGTCTCATCCTTGACACTGACTGGTCAGATACAGTATGACCCTCAGTTGGAATTTATCTTTTTTCTTATTTTTAAATTTTGGGCTGGTGAGATGGCTCAGTGGTCTAAAGCACCTACTTAGAACAAGCTAAGCCAAGCAAAGCACAGGGACCTCGGTTCAATCCCCCAGCACCACATGCCAGCCCGCCCGCCCCCTGGTGGGCTAAGCTGGCCACACACTAAATAAATAAATAAATAAATAAATAAATAAATAAATAAAATAAATTTTATTGATTTATTTATTTGTTACAGGGTCTCATTATACAGTTCAGACTCATAGTGATCCTCCTGTCTCAGCCTCCCCAGTGCTGGGATTACAGGTGTGTGCCATCTCATCTGGTTTTAGGAGCCAGCATGGCATGCCTGGGGTTCTGGGGCCAGCACAGCATGTGGTACCAGGGATCAATCCCAGGTCCGTGTGCTTACCAGGCAGGTACTTAGACTGCTTCCGAGCCCTGGTGGTTGATATTGAACACCTGGCTGATGCAGTGTTTGCCAGGGTTTCATCTATAAAGTAACTGTTTCTCCCCTGTTTGTGCACAGCCCACATTTGAAGGGGGAAGCCAGGCACAGTGGTGCATACCTGTAGTCCTAAGTGTTTAGGAGGCTGAGGCAGGAGGATTTCTTGAGTTCAGGAGTTTGAGGTTAGCCTGGGCACCACACCAGGATCCTGTTTCTTTAAAAATACACCCAAATAGCAAAACAAAATAAGCTGATGGTGATCAGCTTATTTTGCAGAGGATTGCAAATTTGAAGCCACCCCTAGGAAAGTTAATGAGACCTTGACTCCAAATTGGAAAAAATTAAAAAGGACTGAGGATATAGCTCAGAGCTGCCCACATTCCATCCCCAATAACTCAAATAAATAATAAATAAGAATTAGTTCCACCTTCTTGATGAGTGAGTACCTGTGAAATTATTGGGTTTCTCTGGCATAAATGTGTATTCTGTGTCATGTGTTTAGTCATCTCTATATCAATATGGACTCATGAATATTTATTTTATATTGAATTTGTTCCAACTTTGGCATTGGGAGCTTTCACCATTGGGAGCTTTGTTTGTTAGTCTACAATGTTTTATCAGGTTACCTTTTTTTCTTTTTGAGAAAGAGTCTTTTATTTATTTTTTCACAGCTGATTAATAGGACAGTTTTGATAGTCAATACACTGTACATTGTTATCTTCTTAGTGGTTATCCATAGTACAAGAAGCAAGATAGGATATTCTGTCCAAACACTGTTAGTACATCTCTTTCTTCTCATTGAATTAAGCGAAAGTAGCTGTAAATTTATCCTATTTTGTATATATAAATACAAAATGATCTTTCCTTTGTATCCTTTTATTTTTATTTTTTTGTCCTGTCAGAGGTGAATAATCTCTTGGCATCTAAATACTATAGGTATTTGAATTCAACTAAACAATCTAACACTGTCTAGCAATCTATAATATTAGTGGGTTATCTTCAGAAGTTATTGACTTGAACCTTTTACAGCTCATCGTATTAATATGGATTTACTTTAAATACCTCATTTTTATACTTTTCTGCTGGGTGGTTAAGACCAATATATAGCAAGACCAATATACCAAGAAATGTAACTTTTGTGTCTGATAAGGTCAGCCAAGTACTCTCAGGATTTATCCTGTAGCTTTGTACCGCCTTTTGTACATTCTTTTGTCAGTGTCTGACATGAGGATGAGTCACAGCCATTGCTTGGCCAATTTGAGATAGAATCTTTACCATGTTTCACAGACTACTCTTGAACTCCAGAGCTCAAAGGATCCTCCTGCCTGTGCCTCTGAATGCAGGGACTACTGGCACTTGCACTATGCATGGCTTAGCTTGTCACAAAGATGAAGACAGTATGGGGTTGCATGCCTGTAATCCCAGCATTTGGGAGACTGTAAATAGGATCACTACAAGTTCGATCTACACAGTGAGACCCTGTAGACCCTGTAGCCCTGTCATAAATACAAAAAAGATGAAAAAACTTAAGTAACTTTTGACATCTTGTTCTTTTGACCTACAAATTCAGAATAAGGTGGTAATGACATCTGTTTGGCATAGTTTTGCCATTTTGTTGTCAAAACTTTGGGTCTTTGTTTTACTTCGGGTGTGTGAGTATGATCCAGACCTGAGGGCTTGTTCTGTGGTGCAGCTAGTACACTGGGCAGATGTAGGAATTTGAGTCAGCTTGGCAGACCCTCTTTTCTGGACTGAGTATTTCCAGAACTAATCAGTGGAAGGATTTTTATATCTTTCTACTTTTTTTGTGTGTGTGTGTGGTGCGGGGGGCTCCCAGCACAACCCCATGCCTCAAACTTGGAAGTAAATAAATCCAGAGAATAGCTTTTTTTCTTTTTTTTTTCTTTTTGG